ATCTGCCAGCAGGTGGCGCTATAACTGTGACTTAAGATTGGCATGTAGATGCCTTCAGTAATGGAATTTAATCAACCATGTGAAGTTTCAGGCAGATCGGATGTTGTTTGGCTGAGTTATAAGCCTATCTACCTTCTGCCAGCAGGTGGCGTTATGACTGACTCATTACTGTTTTGGGGATGTGTTCAGAAGAGGACTTTTATGAGCCATGTGAAGTTTCAGGCTGATCTGACTTTGTGTGGTTGAGATATAAGAACTTCCTGTTCCACGGCGAAGCGTTGAGGTTTGTCATGCCGCCACAGACACGCCCCTCTGCGAAAACTCTAGATCTTGACAATATATCATCACTTAAGCTTTCAGATAACAACCCACCAAACTTGGTGCTGATACAAAAAAAAATAGTGGGAGGAGTTTATTACTCTGTAAATCATGACTTTTCCTGTGGCCAGCAGGTGGCGCTATAACTGTATCTGGATATTGGCGTGTAAACGTGTTCTGGTCTGGACTCTTATTAAACATGTGAATTTTGAGGCAGATCGGATAATGCATGCCTAAGTTATAATGACTTCCGGTTTTGTGGCGAATCGTCAAAGTTTGCGGGGCCGCCACGGACACGCCCATCGACAAAAACTATAAAGCTCCGCAATTTAACATCGCCAAGGCCTTTAGATGACAAAACCCAATTTTGGTGTCGATAGCATAAAATCCCTAGGAGGAGTTCGTTAAGATACAACGCCTGGAAATGGCAAAAATGCCACTTATTTGCAGCAGGAAGTTAAAAATATCCGACTTCCTGTTGGGTTTGGGATATGGCTCCAAGAGACTTTTTCGTATGTTTTGGCGTGTTTGAGGTGTGTGCCAATTTTCGTGCATGTGCGTGATTCGTAGATCAGGGGCTCGTCCGTTTAATTTTTCTAGGTGGCGCTGTCGAGTCATTTTGCCACGCCCACTTCAATATTGTTATGTGGATGTGTTCAGGGACGGACTTTTATCAACCATATGAAGTTTCAGGCTGATCAGACCTTGTGTGGTTGAGTTATGAGGACTTCCTGTTCCTTGGCGAAGCGTTGAGGTTTGTCATGCCGCCACGGACACGCCCCTCTGCAAAAACTCTAGATCTTTACAATATATCACCGATAGAGCTTTCAGATGACACCACTTAATTTTGGTGCTGATACGAAAAAATTTGTGGGAGGAGTTTGTTACAGTGTAAAACATGTAATTTCCTGTGGCCAGCAGGTGGCGCTATAACTATATCTGGATATTGGCATGTAAACGTGTTCAGGTTAGGACTTTTATGACGCGTGTGACTTTTGAGGCAGATCGGATAATGCATGCCCGAGTTATAACGACTTCCTGTTTTGTGGCGAATCGTCAAAGTTTGCGAGGCCGCCACGGACACACCCATCGACGAAAACTCTAAAGCTTCGCAATTTAACATCGCCAAGGCCTTTAGATGACAAAACCCAATTTTGGTGTCGATCGGATAAAATCCCTAGGAGGAGTTCGTTAAAATACAACGCCTGGAAATGGCAAAAACGCCACTTTTTCGCCGCAGGAAGTCAAAAATATCCGACTTCCTGTTGGGTTTGAGATATGGCTCCAAGAGACTTTTTCGTATGTTTTGGTGTGTTTGAGGTTTGTGCCAATTTTCGTGCATGTGTGTGATTCGTGGATCGGGGGCTCGTCCGTTTAATTTTTCTAGGTGGCGCTGTCGAGTCATTTTGCCACGCCCACTTCCGAGACCCATATCAACCTGCTATTTACACCGGGTTTGGTGTGTGTGCAAATTTTCATGAGTTTTCGGGCATGTTTAGACCCTCAAAAGTGCCCCGATAGGGGGCGGAATAATAATAATAATAATAATAATAATAATAATAATTAAAGCTGCAAGCAGCGATGATAGGGACCTCGCACCCGGGCTCACCGCCGCCCGGTGACCTTCCGATGACAGAGAACAGCGAACAATAATAATTTAAGCCAATATATATATATATAAAAAATCTAAGAAAATCACAGATTTCTGCCAAACTTCCTTCTGTCAGCAGATGGCGCTATAACTGTGACTTAAGATTGGCATGTAGATGTCTTCCGGAGAGGAATCTTATCAACCATGTGAAGTTTCAGGCACATGGGACATTGTGTGGCTGAGTTATAAGCCAAACTACCTTCTGCCAGCAGGTGGCATTATGACTGACTCAATATTATTATGAAGATGTGTTTAGGAGAGGACTTTCATCAACCATGTGACATTTTAGGATGATCTGACATTGTGTGGCCGAGTTACAAGCCAAACTACCTTCTGCCAGCAGGTGGCGCTATGACTCTGACTCAATATTGTTATGTGGATGTGTTCAGGAGAGGACTTTTATCAATCATGTGAAGTTTTAGGCAGATCAGACATTGTGTGGTTGAGTTATAAGAAATTCCTGTTCCATGGCGAAGCGTTGAGGTTTGTCATGCCACCACAGACACGCCCCTCTGCAAAAACTCTAGATCTTCACAATATATCATCGCTAGAGCTTTCAGATGACACCACTCTATTTTGGTGCTGATACGGGAAAGTTTGTGGGAGGAGTTTGTTACAGTGTCAAACATGTCATTTCCTGTGGCCATTAGGTGGCGCTATAACTGTAACTGGATATTGGCACGTAAACCTGATCAGGTCAGGACTGCTATTAAATGTGTGAATTTTGAGGCAGATCGAATATTGCATGCCAGAGTTATAAAGACTTCCTGTTTTGTGGCGTATCATCAAAGTTTGCGAGGCCGCCATGGACACGCCCATCGATGAAAACTCTAAAGCTTCGCAATTTAACATCGCCAAGGCCTTTAGATGACAAAACCCAATTTTGGTGTTTATCAGATAAAATCCCTAGGAGGAGTTCGTTAAAATACAACGCCTGGAAATGGCAAAAATGCCACTTTTTCGCCACAGAAAGTTAAAAATATCCGACTTCCTGTTGGGTTTAAGATATGGCTCCAAGAGACTTTTTCGTATGTTTTGGCATGTTTGAGGTGTGTGCCAATTTTCGTGCATGTGTGTGATTCGTATATCAGGGGCTCGTCCGATTAATTTTGGTAGGTGGCGCTGTCGAGTCTATTTGCCACACCTACTTTAATAATGTTATGTGGATGTGTTCAGGAGAGGACTTTTATCAACCATGTGAAGTTTCAGACAGATCGGACATTGTGTGATTGAGTTATAAAGCCTTCCTGTTCCATGGCGAAGCGTTGAGGTTTGTCATGCCGCCACAGACACGCCCCTCGGCGAAAACTCTAGATCTTCACAATATATCATCGCTAGAGCTTTCAGATAACACAACCTAATTTTGGTGCTGATACAATAAAATTTGTGGGAGGAGTTTTTTACTCAGTAAATCATGTCATTTCCTGTGGCCAGCAGGTGGCGCTATAACTGTATCTGGATATCGGCATGTAAACGTGTTCAGGTCAGGACTGCTATTAAACGTGTGAATTTTGAGGCAGATCGGATAATGCATGGTTGAGTTATAACGACTTCCTGTTTTGTGGCGAATCGTCAAAGTTTGCGAGGCCGCCACGGACACGCCCATCGACGAAAACTCTAAAGCTTCGCAATTTAACATCGCCAAGGCCTTTAGATGACAAAACCCAATTTTGATGTCGATCGGATAAAATCCCTAGGAGGAGTTCGTTAAAATACGACGCCTGGAAATGGCAAAAATGGCACTTTTTCGCCGCAGGAAGTCAAAAATATCCGACTTCCTGTTGGGTTTGAGATATGGCTCCAAGAGACTTTTTCGTATGTTTTGGTGTGTTTGAGGTGTGTGCCAATTTTCGTGCGTGTGTGTGATTCGTGGATCGGGGGCTCGTCCGTTTAATTTTTCTAGGTGGCGCTGTCGAGTCATTTTGCCACGCCCACTTCCGAAGCCCATAATAAACGTAAATTTTCGCCACTTCTGAGGCGTGTGCAAAGTTGCGTGAGTTTTCGGGCATGTTTAGCCCCTCTAAATCGCGATTCATTGGAGAGAAGAATAATAATAATAATAATAATAATAATAAACGGAGCAATTCCAATAGGGCCTACGCACCGTTTCGGTGCTCGGTCCCTAATAATAAAAAACGGAGCAATTCCAATAGGGCCTACGCACCGTTTCGGTGCTCGGTCCCTAATAAACGGAGCAATTCCAATAGGGCCTACGCACCGTTTCGGTGCTCGGTCCCTAATAATAAACGGAGCAATTCCAATAGGGCCTACGCACCGTTTCGGTGCTCGGTCCCTAATAAACGGAGCAATTCCAATAGGGCCTTGCACCGTTCGGTGCTCGGTCCCTAATAATGGTCATGTCTCACCTGTGAAGGTAACTTAGCAAGATAACATAACATTTTTTAACAAGTTATCTCTGTCATACTGTCCAGTATTTTCAAATGTAACGTTGATGATATGATTATTGTCTTTTATGCCTCATAAGTATGTCTCAGACACAGGCCCGGATTAAGAACTCAGGGGCCCCTGGGCACATTGTCTTGTAAGGCCCCCTACCTGGCGGCACCCCTATAGTTGAATTTAAAAAATATGAATAATATAATAATTTTTAAATAAAATGAATCTATAATTTGTTGCCCACATATTAAAATAAATGATATATAGTACATATGTATTTATAGTCTACAAAGATTTAAATTATTTTTCAAAGCATTGAATAAAAATACTAATAAAACTATATATATATATATATATATATATATATATATATATATATATATATATATATATATATATATATATATATATATATATATATATATATATATAATTATTTTTTTAAGGGTACTTAAAAAAATTACTGTTTTAATCACAGTTTAACCATTTGAAATAAAACCAATGGCAATCTATCATAAAAAAAAATTACACCTTATAAACCATGGTTAATTTTCATAATATCTAAAAGAAGTCATTTGAAGAATTAGTTATAGAGAATGTGAGATAAAAAAAAAAGTTGATGAATAACATTCACACAAGTGTTCTCTGCAGATTTATTGCGATGAAAATGACAAAATTATTCATCTCACTCAGACACAGTTACATAATGATATAGCAGAGCCATTTTGTTAAATCACTGTGCATGTATTTCTGCATGCTGTGCAATTCAAACTGACATGACTAACTACAAACTTAGTGGCAATGCATATTTTCCCCCTCAGCTGCTTAAGAACAACCCTCAGTTGAAGGTGTTATATGCTAGCAGATAGCCATCATTATACATGTACAGCTTCCTGTCAACAGGATTGTAGTTCAGGTTGGCTATTCCAGCAGAAACCTTCTCAAAAGGCAAAGAAAGAGAGTTTATCTCTTGACCAGTGGTTGTATCAAAAGCATAAAACACTTCCTCTTGATAAGTATTAACAAAACGTGTTGCATAAAGGACTCCACACACCATAAACGTGCTGCTGACTGACCTCTTAAAGAGATGCGTCTTAAATGTGTGTGTGATATTGAGCTCCACCGGGTCTAAGCGACTCAACACGATGTTCCCATGATTCTCCATGGTGGCGTAAATCACCCACACTGCATCTCTGTCAGCCTCCAGGTCGATGTCTGTCCAATCACGACAGCTGTAGTAGCAGAACGGGAACGTGTTTTCGATGCCGGCATCATCCAGTTTCATACGCTTGGTTTTCTGAGTTGTAATATTGAAGCTGCAGATTTCAGCTTTGCCATAGCATTGGTAAAACACAGTATTGTCATACAGTATAGTGCCAGAACCCTGAACAGCATTGGTATGACTGTACGATGATGCAACATATTCATCTTTGTAGTTCTTGCTGCCCATGAAATCTTCATACGAGTTGTACATTCTGAATGTGTTTCCATACTTGTGTCCACTAACCAAACAGTGTTCCCAATAACGCTCCTTACTGTTGGGTTTGGCATCTCTACCCCAGGCTCCTGAAATATACGACTTGCTGATGGAATTGAGCTTGGTGACAACTGGAGAACTTATTCTGGACATGATACGCTGATGACAAGTACCTGTAAGCGGATTGTTCACGTTTAAGGTAAACAAATTATACAATTTATTATATTATAACAAAGTACAGTCCAATGAGGCATGGTCATGTAGAGTCATGTACTTACTTCTGAAATCTTCGGGTATAGTTTTACAGCTCTGCACTCTGTTGTTGAGGTCACGGAGCCTCTTTTGCATCGTCTCTAGATTGAAGACATTGCTTTTGTACATGTTTTGGACGTCCTTCCTTGCCTTGGTCAGCTGAGAGGAACAATGATGATATAAAAATCAGCATGTCTTTGAATCCAGGGTAATGAATTGTTTGAGGCAAATCTTTGTTGAACTTTAATGATGGGTAAACCATTATAATAAGATGTTTTCAGATACTTTTGGATTTTTGGATGCAATGCTTACTAAATGTGGGCTTTGTAAAGCAGTAGTTTTAATAAATAATTACTTAAATCTCACTGTTTCTTGCACTAAATTGTAATAATTGTCATCAATTTCAATTGAGCACTTCAAAACAAAACAAAAAAAGCTCTTTTTTTAATCCCTACCTAGCTTGTATTATCCTGATAAAATCAGAAACTTTGTATTAGTAGCACTTGATGTGAGTTTTTCCAATTTATGATGAATCATTTGACACTAAGTTGAAACTTAGTTAATAAGCAGCAGATTCGATGTTTATATGAGCTAAACATAAAAATTATGAATGAATTGGTCCCCAAGTTAAAATATGAGCAAAACTTTAAAAGTCCCATGAAAATAAAATAAAGTCTTTTCCATGTTAGTCTAAGGAAGACTAACTGTCAGCTCACAGCAACAAGGTCGCTGGTTTGAGCCTCGGCTGGGTCATTTGCATTTCTGTGTGTAGTTTGCATGTTCTCCCTGCATTAGCGTGAGTTTGCTCCGGTGTCCTCCACAGTCTAAAGACATGCAGTACAGGTGAATTGGGTATGCTAAATTGTCTGTAGTGCACGAGTGTGTATGGATGTTTCCCAGAGATGGGTTGCGGCTGGAAAGGCATCTGCTGCGTAAAACATGTGTTTGATAAGTTGGTGGTTCATTCCGCTGTGACCCCGGATTAATAAAGGGACTAAGCCGAAAAGAAAATGAATGAATGAATGAGATGTTGTTCTAAAGTATTGTTAGTTTCTATACTGTAAAAAAATTATATAAACTTTTAGTCATGACAGCCTATGTTTTTAGTTCATTGCAACTTATTTAACTAATTTAATACTGTTCTAGCCTAATTTTATACATTATGCAAGCTGTTTTAACTCAGTTTACCATAACATAAGTTCAATGGACTCATAAGGTTAATTTGATGTAGCTCAAAAATTTAGGGGAACCAGGATTTGTTTTTTTTTTTTTTTTTTTTTTTTTTTTGGATAGTATAAGCTAGTGCGCTCCAAAAACAGTGACAAAATTAGCATTTAGAAGATTTAAAATTATATAAGCATGAAAGGCTTGTACTTTGTCACTTTCGTCTAAATGGATCAATGTTTTTTTTTTTTTTCACGTTACCACATACTTCAGTTTCTCATCAAATCTTGACCAATCAAATAGTTTCTTATACCTGACCTACCCTGCCCGTTCAAGGCGCTTCTCATTTGATGTGCTTGAGCTCAGTCGCTTGCACTGGCAGATCTGTTTTAAAACGAAATGCTTTTGGCTGTTTTATAAAAAGGAGAGAAGCTGCACAATGTCCCAGCATCTCTTCATGTTTCGGTAAAGATTACGTCAAAACAGAAGAAAAATGCACATTTCAAAGCCCTTCACAGGACCTTAAAATTAAAAGCATTTCCATAGCAACTACCAATGTGTAAATTTAGTCTAAAAATTAAATGACTAAAACAGAAAACTGAACAAAAAATACAATACAACAGGACTAAAATATTAAAAAATAAAAAATAAAAAAAATAAATAGAACTTTAGATGGAAAAACTAAACTTAAATATTTTTAAAATTAATTGACTTTTAAATTAAATATAATATATATATATATATTTATATATATATATATATATATATATATATATATATATATATATATATATATGTATATAAATATATATATATATATATATATATATATATATATATATATATATTTGTATAAATATATATATAAATATATATATATAAATATATTTGTGTAAATATATTTTTGAGAATTTTTTTATGTAGTTGTGTGTTTGTGTGTGTGTTTGAATTAAATAAAAAAAATACATTTGAAAACCAATTTCTGGTTTTCGGTAATACCTCCACGGTTAAGGAAATTACTTTTTAAAGTTGTAGGGGTATAGGTGTTCTCTTCACTACTGATTTACTAGTTTTAGTACTAAAATACTCTTATGGTGCGATTACACTAGAAGCGGATGAAGCGGATGAAGCGTCCAGCGTGAGTGATTTATATGTAAAGTCAATGCAAAAACAAAAATAGACATCCTGTGGCGCGATTTGCACAAATGAAGCAGTGCAATTGAGCATTTTGTGCATTTGACGCACAAATCGCACGATTCACTCAGTTGGAAAATCTGAACTTTAGCAGAAATATGTGCCACGTTAACCAATAAGGAGCTTGCTTTTGTAGAGGCGTGATTATGATGTAGTGACTGCGGTTTGTGTCCCTAAGGGGAAATCTTCCTGTCAACACTGGACAACAGCTCATCGAACTGGTCTTGGCTCAGTCTGAAATCCTGCTGAAAGCTGCCATCACCTAAGTTCAGTTTCTGAAGGAGTTGATGAACTCACAGAGCTAGGTGCACCTCTGGAAGGATTTCCTGAAAGCACAGTTATCTCAATAAAATCAATGTAAACCTTTTAGCAACGAAGCTAGAGTGACCGGGCAGACAGAAGCCTTGCCCATGGTGCGAATCTATTGTCTACTTTAAAGTGAAATTCATGTGTGAATGACGCAAATTTGATATGCAATGAGGTGAGTAACCTCAAAATGTTCACATGTCTATTTAAGCTCGAAAAGGGCATGCCACGTCAGGTGTGAACACAGCGTGAGAGAGTAAAAATTTAGTACTAACATGCACATTGTTTGTAAGATATTCTCCTAATTTGTCAAGTTATGAGCTACTTTTAGCCTTAGGATGTTACTATTTTGTCCCCAGTCACTATTTTGATAAAGATTTCTTGTACCTCCTTGAGAAGGTCATTAGTGGTTTTGCTGGGGTTTTTCTTGTGCACTTCAGTGGCAGTATTGTAGATCTCCTCCAGCTCCAATATCAGCTCCTGCAGGTGAAGGCTTTTGTATAGGTCATTCCTGTTAGCAAAATCAGAGCGTTTCTGCCGGCTTTTAATGTTCTTTAGAGTGAGCTTCATCTTTGGCAGCTCCACATCTCTGATCTGAAAAGTACAACCCTCGATTATTGATGTTATTTTGCTTCAGGAATGCACAGAAGAGAATTGAAAGGATCTTACTCTTTTCTGGAACTCTGTAAGGTTTTCCTCGCAGGTCTGAAGTTGCTTCATGGCTTTTTCAAACCTCACAGCAGGAAAAGCCCAAATGGAGCTGCTTAACTTGCACACGCAGGAATCATTCTTCTGTTCACCTGGAATCTTTTGAGACTCCACAGACAACTGAGAAAGCATAAATACAGTCTTTACACTCTTTGTTTTTAGGTTACACGTTATTTTACAGTGGTTTTGGTACGGCTGTAAAAAGCAATTAGCTGACCATACTTAAAGTCAGTAAACCCATTGGGCCCTATCATACATTTGGCACAATAAGCCACAAGACATGTTTGGCGTGAATTGTTGCTATTTTCAGACCAGCGCAACCCTTATTTTCACATTTTGTGCAACATTGTTTAAATAGCAAATCCATTTGTGCCACTTTGTGGACACATGGGTGTGTGGAATAGACCCTGCCATTGACTAACCAAAAGCTAGTCTAAAGTCCTCATTCATCTTGTTGTCTACAAATAACGACATATTCTCCGACTTTGGTCTTTTGAATCTATTACTTGTTCTCAGGTAACATGTTTTGGCTAAGCGCAAAGATGAGTAAATATATTAATTAATGTAACATATTACTGATTCTGCACATTTGACTGGTTGCTTGCATTTATTTCCTATATTGTATAAGCTTATTGTATGTTATAGCTTTACAATGGCCATTATTGATTATTAAAACTGATATTCAGCAAATGAGAGGATGTTTTGTATTTTTTATGAAAATAAATGGAGGCAGTTATGTTATAGGCTTTGTTTTGTAAATACACATACGCTGAGGATGACAGTCATAAAATATGCAGCTACAAGGTGCCTCAACATAGTCTGTTAAGTTGCTATTATCAAAAGAAAAATTGACAGTTCCTTATATCATGTTTTGATATGTTTTGAAAGTGAAACAGCATGGGTGATGTGAATGAGGTTATAAAGTACAATGTTCCCTTTGAAAATTTACCTGGCGTGTCATCTGGAATTTGTTTTCCATAACAAACTTGCAAAGTCTAAACTTACAAGGAAAGGATGCAAGATTGAACTTTGTTTAGGCTACTTAATATTGAGGAAAAAGCCCCAATCAGGTGGCGTAAATGTTGGCAGCCACACATCTGTTTTCAGATGTCTCCGTTTTCCCCCCATCCACACTAATATGGAGCAGCAGTGGTTTAAAATGACAACGGCTTCTTTAGCGTTTCCAAAACCCTCCGCTTTTGATGCTCAAAAAGCACAGTGGCTTAACCGTAGCAAAACTTTAAAACTAAAATTCATTAGTGTAAGCTGGGCCTTAGACTTAGCACCTAGATAGTTAAAAAAGAGCCCTTTGTCTTGCTTACTGTATTTACAAAAATGAAGTCAACTTAACAGTTCTAAGTTACAACACGTTTACTCGCTTTCTTTAAGTAATTTCAACTTGTCGCTTTAAAAACAAATGGGTTTAACAATCAAGTTTACTCACTTGATTTTTAAGTAAAATGGCTGAAAGCTTTTGGCAGTGTACATATACAACATTTATTGCATGAATGGCATTTTCTTGTTGACCTTTTTATTAAAATGAATATAATGAATGTTCAATAACTTTATTATTTTAGAGTTATTAATGTGATAATTTTTTTTAATATAAATTATAGTAGGGCGAGGCAGTGGCGCAGTAGGTAGTGCTGTCGCCTCACAGCAAGAAGGTCGCTGGTTTGAACCTCGGCTCAGTTAGCGTTTCTGTGTGGAGTTTGCATGTTCTCCCTGCCTTCGAGTGGGTTTCCTCCGGTTGCTCCGGTTTCCCCCACAGTCCAAAGACATGCGGTAAAGGTGAATTGGGTAGGCTAAATTGTCTGTAGTATGTGAATGTGTGTGTGGATGTTTTTCCAGAGATGGGTTGCGGCTGGAAGGGCATCCGCTTTGTAAAAACTTGCTGGATAAGTTGGCGGTTCATTCCGCTGTGGCGACCCCGGATTAATAAAGGGACTAAGCTGACAAGAAAATGAATGAATAAATTAAATTATAGTATATTATTATTAAATAATGTATTATATTAAACTCAATAAAATATATCAGACATTATTATTTAACAATATATTGTTTCAAACTAAAATTTAATTTATTATTATTATTATTATTATTGGTGATAGTGAGTCAAATGACATTTATTATATAACCACATTATGTACAGATAAGCTAAACTGAATAAATATAGAAAATACAAATAATTTATAACTTAACATAAATATTGTATAAATATTTTATAATAAATCTCTTAAAATTTTGCATTACATTAAACTCCATAAGAAATAAATCCACAAAATATCTTATATAACAATAGCTTTCTTTAAACTGTAGGGGAAAAAATGCCAGTACATCACTTTGTTATACGGCAAGCAAATAAACATACAGTAAATATGTGCAGTCATATACAGATTAATTATTTCCACATTTAACGTGTGACTATTTTTATTTCATAACAAAAACAACTCTTAGTTAAAGACATTATTGAAATCTAAAAAGATGAGACTTACTGTGACTGTGAGGAGCAGCAGGAAAGACAGCATGATGAGAAAATGACACCCAAAACACTAAAGGCTCTTCTTTAAACAACAGAGAGACATTTGGATGTTGCAAACACCTCCTAAAGAATTACAAAAAAAACTTTAGACTGTGCAAAATAATTTCATTTCACAACATTTCTGCAGTTTCATTGTGGAACGAAATATATGATTACCAGTATTGCAAGATAAAATGCAAATTCATGATTATACAAAGCTTTTTTTGTTGTTCATTTTATACAGTTTTTCTTTATTTATGAACTCATCAAAGGTGTGCAGAGAGATAAGACGATTACAACAGATCTTACCTCTGCTTCACCCGGTGAAATGAAGAAGTGTTGATTTCACCATCATGATACAGCTTTAAAACTCTGCTGCTGCCAAACAAAGTTTATTCTGAGGTTAGAAGAGCTTCTTTCTGCCGTCAGACATGAGTCCCAATCAGATTTTCATTCTGTTGATCATCATTCCTCCTGCTTTCTTTCAGGTAAGGAAAAACACTTCATGCGCCTTTTTAACATTTTGAATTGTTCAAAAATCATCTCCAGCTGTTTGCTTTTTTCACATTTCATGTCATTTTATTTTGCTTTGAATTTGTCATCATAGTCAGCGAGGGGGAAAGACTGTGTGTGTGATCTAAAAAACTCAGAACCTGCTTTTCCTGACCACAAACTAACCAAAGTAGAGGCCACTGCCAAACAATGCATCAGGACCATCACTTCAGAGAAGGTACTGGTACATTCTGACACATTTTGACAAAAAAAAATAATAAAAATGAAAAAAAAAATAAAAATCATGTCATTATTTTTTTTTTTTTAAAGCATAGTTTAGTAAAGAAATGTAACTCTACAATGCTTTAAGGTGCCCAAAATAATTATTTACAGAATTTTCTGGGGGTTTTTTTGCAAGAATTTTTGCAATTGTTTTTTGGAAAGGTACATTAAAATAGTGTTGTATGTTTTGTGTTCGGGTCATTTTGAACCTGGGTATGTTTGGGTTACCTTAAGTACTCAATCCTTAATACTCAGTGTGAAGTTATCTATGAAGTTATATCAGTAACAATTACCTTTTATACCTTTTTTGGGCCATTTTCTCATATTTCACACATTTTGGGATTTTTTTGTGTCTTTACATTATTCAGCTACTGAAAACAGCATTACATTTTTTTTTCTTTAAATGAAATCTTACACTATCGGTCAAAAACTTTGGGGTCAGTACAATTTTTAAATGTTTTAAAATAAGCTTCTCCTGTTCACCAAGTCTGCATTTATTTAATCAAAAATACAGTACAAATTGTAAAATTGTGAAATGTTTTTGCACTATAAGAACTGTTCAAAAGTTGCTTATAATTTAATTTAATCATTTTTTTTTTGTTATTTTAAGGATTAATTTTCAGCTTCATTACTCCTGTCTTCAGAGTCAGATGATCCTTCAGAAATCACTCTAATATTAATTATTATTGTTATTATTATTATTATTATTATTATTATTATTATTATTATTATTATTGGTAATAGTAATAAAAGCAATAATAACTGTAGAAGTAATTCCATTTGAAACTACATACAATTAGAAAGCAGTTATTTAAAATTGTAATAAATATTTAACAATTTAACTTTTTTTCATTTAATAAATGCCGCCTTGATGAACAGAATAATTTTCTTTAAAGAAAAAAAGAAAAAACTGACCCCAAACTTTCGACCCGTAGTGTACTGTATTCATGCAAGCAAAATTACTCTATTTTGTTTAAAAAATAATAATAATTCTTAATATATATTGATGTTGCTTTTATGTAACTGATTTTTTAAAAAAAAATTATTATGTGGACTTTTTACATAAATACAAAGCTATTTAATGAGGTCAATGGTATGATAATTTTCAAATTATATGTTCTTATGATTCATATAATGGTAATAACATAATATAATGGTATTGAAATAATTTACTAAATATTTCTACCATACTTTTTGGTGTCATTCATGTAATTTCAAAGGAATTCACTTAAATTATACATAAATGCAGTAAAGTAAACATTTTGAACAGGTTTTTTATTCACACATTATTGAGAAGTTGCTTTCATGTACGGTTGCAGTAAAAAAAAAATCTGAAAATGCTGTCATTTACCTAACCTTCACTTGTCCCAAATCTTTATGATTTTCTTTCCTCTGCTGAACACAAAAAGAGTAAATTCTGAAGCTGGAATTCTTGACTTCCATTCATTTATTCAATTTCTTTTCGGCTTATAGTCCTTTTATTAATCTGGGGTCGCCACAGCGTAATGAACCGCCCACCTTGGCTTCCATATTATTATTTTTTTTTTCTTTTATGGAAGTCAATAATTAAAGGATTTCAGCTTCTTTTGTGCTCAACAGAAAGGTTTGGAACCACTTGAGGGTGAATAAATAGTGAGCAAATTGTCATTTTTTTGTGAACTCTTTAGGTTATTAAATATCAGACCCATATGTGAACTTTGATTGTCAAAATAGTACACAGATCTTATCTGTATCAATTTATTTCTCACATTGCAACTGTTATTTTGTAAAATAATAAAATGAAGAACAATTAAAATCATAACGTTACTCTATTTCCAGATGATGGAAATGGACATACTCGTTTTGGGTTTACAACAACGCATCACACAACTAGATGAAAATATGGCCAAGCTGGAAAATGAGGACAACAGCAAGCTGTACGGGGCTGTTTCTATGCGGATCATTGATTTGGAGATAGCCGAAATTCAGAATCTCCTCGACAAACTCAACGCCACCACCAAGGGATACAATCATCTCAGCATACAGACTGCAGATCAGGTGACAAAATAATGCTGACATTTAATCATTTTAGAATGTTTATTTAATTGCTAGATTTTTTTATCACCAGTAGGTACATATCAAGAGCATAGATTTGCTCTAGACATTAAGTACATACCGTACATCTCTATAGTGCATGCACAGAACAGCACAAATTCGCTCTTTAAAAAACATGAATAGGCTTTAAACACTTTATAATACAAATAAATATTAATGAAGCATGTCCCATGTCGGAAAAGTCCATTTACATGATTTTGAGCGCTAAGAAGGTATGAAAATAGAGAAATTTAGAGAGGCATGTGATGCAATTTAACAGTTTTTTCCTGATTATTGTTTTTCATAATCATGAAAGCCCAACTGAATATCGATTAATTGCACAGTCTTGGTTAATATTATCATGGTGGAGTCATAGCGAACTTGGCATTATTTTATTTTGAAGGTGATTAAATTATTGGTGGGGACATTTCAGTATTTGGTGGATATTGGCGGGGGCACCTCCGTCCATGCCAATTCACCTTGGTACAAATATACTACAAAATCTTGTAATCCATTTTTAATATATCTCAAATTTCATAGATTCAAAGCATCTGTATTTCATTATTTCGTCCTACATTAGGAACTGGGAATTTTCTTATTATAACTTGCAATTCTCAGATAATATGAGATATAAACTTGGATTAAAAAGTTTCAAATTTACATTTCATACTGTAATTTATTGGATGGCAGAAACATTCTATAAAATAAAATGAAAAGATGTTAAGAGAGAATGTTAAGCATTATAAATTATCAAGTGAGGCTATTATATAGTGTGACACATTGTGCTTTTTGAATGTTAGATACAGTTGAAGTCAGAATTATTAATCCTCCGTTTATCTTTTCCATAGTTTTTGTTTTAATGGAGAGAAGACTTTTTCAGCACATTTCTAAACATAATAGTTTTAATAACTCATTTCTAATAACTGATTTATTTTATCTTTGCCATGATGACATTGACAATAAATAATATTTTACTAGATATTTTTCATTCTATGCAGCTATAAGTGACATTTAAAGGCTTAACTAGGTTAATTAGTTTAATTAGCCAGGTTGGGGTAATCAGGCAAGTTATTGTGTAGCGATGGTTTGTTCTGTAGACTATCGAAAAAATATATAGCTTAAAGGGGCTAATAATTTTGACCTTAATATGGCTTTTTTATTTTATTTTTTTCAAAAATGAACAACTGCTTTTATTCTAGCCAAAATGAAACAAATAAGACTTTCTCCAGAAGAAAAAATGTTACCAGACATACTGTAAAAAAAAATTCCTCTGTGAATCATCATTTGGGAAATATAAAAAAAAAAATAAAAAGGGGCTAATAATTCTGACTTCAACTGTAAATCTTGGATCAAAGTGCTGTGACTGTCTGCTAAACGAAACAACTCTGAACTGCCTAAAAAGAGACTTCATCACTTTTCGTGATAATGATAAAGAATAACACTCTTTGATTAGTAATAAAAACATTTTACCTACCCAACCCCCACCCCTATACTAGACAAAGATAGGATTTATGATGAAAACAACCCTTAAAACAGTCATGGATCATCTAGGGCAGTACTAGACATAACATTCCTCTGTTGCCATCAGTCCGAATGTCTGACTATGTGAGATTGAAGATTAAGAACCTTTGAAATAATACAACATAGGCAGGGAAATTGAAAGGTGCTAGAGAGACCAGCAGGGGGCGCTCAACCTGCGGTTTGTGTGGGCACTAATGCCCTAGTATAGTGAAGAGGACACTATACTGTCAGTGAGCACCGTCTTTTAGATAAGACATTAAACCGAGGTCCTGACTCTCTGTGGTCATTAAAAAACCTATGGAACTTTTTATAAAGAGTAGGGGTGTAACCCTGGTGTCCTGGCCAAATTCCCTCTATCGGCTCTTAATGATCATGGCCTCCCAATCATCCTTATCCACAGAATTGGCTCTAACACCGTCTCTCCACTCCACCAATAGCTACTCTGTGTTGAGCGCACTGGCCCCGTTGTCCTGTGGCTGCAGTCACACTGGTGGTGGTCTGGAGAGACCCTCCTCATGATTGTCAAACGCTTTGGGTGTATGCCCATACACAATAAATGCGCTATGTAATACACATTACATTACCTTACCAAGTGTACTTTTTCTTTAAGCTTGAAGATATGAAGGACACAATGGAAGACCTGGAGAAGTTTGACAACATGCAGGTAGTAAAGAAAGATCGAGAGAACCAGCGCTATAAGAAACAACTGGAAGAATGCAAAGATGAGCTCGAGGCCACGTTACCACCTCCTACAGTTCTTCCAGGTACGTTAAAAACCTTGAGTCCCTAAATTAAAGCTTCTACAAAGGAAATACTTCAATCTTGGATTTCTTGTTATTTTTGTAGGCCGCTGCGGTCTGGGTCGTTTGGTCAAAGTAGCGGGACCTAGAACGTATTCGCTCACGGTATACAGCACCTCGTATACTTATGGTGCTTGGGGTCGAGATGTAAATCCTGCTCCTGGAGATGAGAACAAATACTGGCTGGTGGTGCTGTACACTAGTAATGTATACGGCAACTTCATCCGGCAGTACAGTACCTTGAGTACCTTTTTATTAAATATAGGTCCTATAGATACTTACATAGCAGGCTCAAATCCTACAACAAATACAATTCAGGGTCCAAACATGGTCATGTATGCCAACGCGCTCTACTATAACTGCTACAACTCATACTCTGTCTGTCAGTTCAACATGACAACTAAATCTGTCAACACTGTAGCTTTACCCAGTGATACAGGTTATAGCAGCAAGTTTCCATTCGCACACCTTGGCCATACATATGGTTATACAGACATGGATTTTGTCACAGAAGAATCAGGCGTCTATGTTATATACGCAACCACAAGCAACTTTGGAAATGTGGTGATTAGTAAAGTTGAGACTAGTACCCCGCCTGTTTTGGGCCAAACTTGGTCCACTTCTCTTCACAAAAGGACCGTCACAAACACTTTCATGGTGTGCGGTGTGCTTTATGCGACTCGATACCTGGATAAAGAAACAGAAGAGATCTTTTACTCCTATGACACTAAAACCAACAAAGAGCGCTATGATTTGAGAATTCACATTAAGAAGATGCAGGCTAATATCCAGTTTCTAAACTATGACCCTAGAGATCATTTGCTGTATGCATACAGCGATGCCTACATTGTGACTTACGAGCTCGTCTTTCAGTAATGAACTGGATTTGGGACATGCTAGTATGGCTACATATCATTTCATATTCAGGAAAATTATGCAATAATACAGTTGAATATAATGATTGAATTAAGATGCTACTGCAAGGCTGATGTTGCCATTTCTAAACAAACAAACACCTAAGTTATAGGCATTTTCCATCAAAAATTTACTTTTTGAGTCAAAAAAAACATTTACAGGCAAGACACTATTAATTTTGAGGTGTCATGAAGTGAGCGTTTGGAGCCAAATCATTCCAAAAAACAATATATTTACAAACTATAATACATACATCCACAACACAATCCGCATTTATAAAATCCAATTTGCAACTTCAAAACGCATTTCAAAATTACACAAATCCAATTGGTAAATTCAAAACGCGATTCATAAATACACAAATCCAATTCGTAAATTCAAAACGCGATTCATAAATACACAAATCCAATTCGTAAATTCAAAACGTGATTTATAAATACACAAATCCAATTCGTAAATTCAAAACGAGATTCATGAATACACAAATCCAATTCGTAAATTCAAATAGCGATTCATAAATACACAAATCCAATTGGTAAATTCAAAACGCGATTCATAAATACACAAATCCAATTGGTAAATTTAAAACACGATTCATAAAATACACAAATACAATTCATAAACTCAAATAGCGATTCATAAATACACAAATCCAATTCATATATTCAAAACGCGATATATAAATGCACAAATCCAATTGGTAAATTCAAAATGAGATTCATAAATACACAAATCCAATTTGTAAATTCAAAACGTGATTCATAAATACACAAATCCAATTCATAAATTCAAATAGTGATTCATAAATGCACAAATCAAATTCATAAATTCAAAACACGATTTATAAATACACAAATCAAATTCGTAAATTCAAAACACGATTCATAAATACACAAATCCAATTAATAAATTCAAAACGCGATTTATAAATACACAAATCCAATTGGTAAATTCAAAACGTGATTCATAAATACACAAATCCAAATCATAAATTCAAATAGTGATTCATAAATACACAAATCAAATTCATAAATTCAAAACGCGATTTATAAATACACAAATCAAATTCGTAAATTCAAAACACGATTCATAAATACACAAATCCAATTCGTAAATTCAAAACGCGATTCATAAATACACAAATCCAATTCGTAAATTCAAAACGTGATTCATAAATACACAAATCCAATTCGTAAATTCAAATAGCGATTCATAATTTCACAAATCCAATTTGTATATTCAAAACGGGATTCATAAATACACAAATCCAATTCATAAATTCAAAACACGATTTATAAATACACAAATCCAATTCGTAAATTCAAAACGTGATTCATAAATACACAAATCCAATTTGTAAATTCAAAACGTGATTCATAAATACACAAATCCAGTTTGTAAATTCAAAACGCGATTCATAAATGCACAAATCCAATTTGTAAATTCAAAACGCGATTCATAAATACACAAATCCAATTCGTAAATTCAAAACGATTTGAAGAATATTTTTAAAAGTGATCTGGCTCCATAAATTTGTCAGCAAAAAACTGATCAATTACATTTTTACCTTTAATCCACAGTCTCAGCAACCGGTCCTGATGTTGTTTATAATGTTACATAAAGAATAATGTACATCTAGATCTTGCAAAATAAAGCCTGACATTGTTGTAGAAGTCTGAAGAGCTTTATTCTGTGGACACAAGGGCATTGACGTACATTATCACGCTTTATTACACAACTACTTTCCACAAATAAAACGATTAGACACAAAACATTGATCTGATCGTAATTATTTAGTTACTCTTTAATTAAACCTTAAGCTTGCAGAAAGCACGGCTGAGCATGTGTTATTAGATTTAGCAGTTGTTATCAGGTAATGACATCCCATATCTTTTAATGTCTTGATTGACCAATCAGAATCAAGTATTAAAGAAAGCTGTGTAATAAATATTAATAAAATGAGTAAAAACAAGTTCTAAATAACGTTTAGTTTGTTGCAGAAATGTAGATTCACTGTATGTGAAATGAAATGTAGCCTATACAAGTTTGCTCACGTATCCATGGGTTTAATTGCTTAGCTTTGTTACATGATGTGAAAAAATGCACAAATGTATCGCAAAGTTTGCTTCTTGAAAAAATAAATAATATCATAAAAATGTCTGTGCTTGATTACTATTGCAGAAAAATGACATTATATGAAGTCAGACACTGTGGTAATACAGAATCATTCATTCATTCATTTTCCTTTGGCTTAGTACCTTATTTGTCAAGGGGTCGCCACAGAGGAATAAACCGCCATCTATTCCAGCTAGGCATAGGCCGGTGAATTCTGACAGTATGATAACCTTGGAAAAAAATATCACGGTTTCAAGGTTTAGCGGCATTGTAATTACTGCTCTAAAATATATTCTTTTTAAATGTCTGGGTAAAAAACTAAAACTTTGAACACAATACATTTATTTTAATAAACATTTCAAATATTTTGGAGCAGTAAACATGTCAGGCTAAATAATTCAAATGAATCACTGACTTCTGCTGTCTTCATTTGTTTCAAAAACAGTTTTCTTTACAATTTAAAACGGCATCTTTGGATATCTTTTTGATGGAAATATTTTTAATAAAAAAAAGTACATTAGAAAAATGTTACATATACCTTAGGAATGGTAGAGTAGAACATTTTTAAATCTTGACTTTTCCAAACCGTGGTATACCTTGAAAATAGTCATCATCCAGCATATGCTTTACGCAGTGAATGCCCTTCCAGCCGCAACCCAATACTGGGAAACACCCATACACACTCATTCACACACTCTCATACACTGCGGACAATTTAACCTACCCAATTCACCTGTACCGCATGTCTTTGGACTGTGGGGCATCCGCTGCGTAAAAACGTGCTTGATAAGTTGGCGGGTTCATTCTGCTGTGGCGACCCCAGATTAATAAAGGGACTAAGCTGACAAGAAAATGAATAAATGAATGTTTAGTCTGTACTTCTCAACATCAAAAGGCAGCCTTTACATAAATACACAGTCTTTGTTTTTGTTTACTCCACATAGTTCTGAGAGCTGAGAAGAACATTTAGATTTTTTCAGACACATCAAGGTAAGTGCCACACACACACACACACACAGACACACACACAGACACACACACAGACACACACAGACACACACAGACACACACACACACAGACACACACACACACACACACACACACACACACACACACACACACACACACACACTTTAATTTGCTGTTGTACTCCATATAAAATCCACAAATTAAGTTGTTTTTGCAGAGGCCTGTCTAAAGGGTTAATGGTGCCAACTCATGAGCAACATTAAAAATTAAAAAATGTTCCTCTTCCAAACAGGAAAAACCAACAATCAAAAAAAGATGATTATATGATGTCATGGCTTTGAAATAAAAAATGTGGTTATAATGGAAGTCAATGAGGCAAAAAGAGCCAAGAACATTAAATTAGAAAATCTTAAAAATAAAAATCTTCTGCTGCACAAAAAACAAAAAAGGCAATGTTGTTTTCACATGTCCAAGACTGATTAAACCTTTTAAAAAATCCAGTTCACAATTACTTTTTATATAGAAAATTAGTGTGTTTTTTCAGTAAACCCGTGACATCATTTATGAATTTGTCAATTAAAGAGTTAAAATCCTGTAATTTTCTAAATAATTTAGTAGTTTAGATCTGGACTAAGGCTGATTAAGAGATTTATGCAAAAAAAAAAAAATCTGATGCATTTTACAGCAGTTTAGAGGATTCTTTCATCAGTTACATAACAAAAGGGTAGTAAATGTGACCAGTGCACGAGGCTTAAGTTCTGCTTAAACACAATTTAACTCAAAATTGTTTTCATGACGATTATGCCTTAAATTGAAGTCTTCTCAGACTTCTGTGCTAGACTTTCTGTGCTTTCCATTTCTCTGTCTCGGTCCAATGCGCGTGCTGCACGTGATAAGAAACAAGGCAATATATTGACTTATGACCAGCTATAGGCTACTATAGTATATAATAATTTTTTTTTTACATATAGAATTGCATTAATTTGCATAGATGTTTTATTGCTTAAAAAACGAACGCCTCAGTTCTGGTGTGGAGTTATTATGCAAAAATGAAGTAAATCATTGGATTTGCTTGTAGGGTATTTTTAAAAATGGATATTTTATAAGAACTATTATTATAACCTTTAATTTTCCAAATGGAAAAAAATTGTTGGTTGTATATGCTATATGCTTTTTTAAAATGCCGCATTCCCCAGCGCTCCGGATGTTTGTTGTTAGGCTACAAGATATGGGGCCCTGATGACATGCAGATAAATTCACAGGCACGTGTTTAGAATAGTTCTTTTTCAGCTAGCCTACATAATATGACTTCAATTAAAAATTAATTTTATAATCTATTCGATTTAATTTTCTTACCTGTATGTGTTCTGTTGTTCATGCAGGTTTAAATGCCTTGAATTAATTTGTAAGTTAAAACTTTAGTTTCATAGATTTGGTAGGACTATTCCAGGAACGAATTATTCAATTTAATGTTTAATTATTAAGTTATAACTTTAATTAAAACAAGGATATGAATTAATAAGACATGGTCGTGGAAGCGAATTTATAATTCGAATTATGTTCAGAGCTCCATAGTTTAAAACAGGCTAACAGTTAGTTAAACTATAGTATAAGATAACAAACACAGCTGCCTAAATAAATAGCCTATAAAATATACAGTTGATCACTGAGGCCTGTTAAAATATTATTTAAAAACTGTACTGAATGGAAAAAGCACAAGAAAGAACACCGCTTTAAAAGAGAAACTTATTTTATTGAAGTGCTTTCATTTTGGACAGTTATTTAATTTTTTAGTCACAAAAAATTAGAGTTAGCCTACTAGAAAAGGTTTTATGACGGCGCAGGATTTGAGCAGTATTGGTTTACCGGTGAGCAAGCGCACGAACATGGAGTAGAATGCTTAGCTAAGCGTCACACCGCTCAGCTCCACTCGCATGCTCTGGCTGCTACAGTAAATCAGTTTAGTCTGTTCACTACGTTACATAAATCTCCCCGCTGACCATGTATTTCTTGTGTTAGACCATGTTGTGCTGTGCCGTAGTTTACTGCAGTAATGTGCAACACCACTTTAGATCACTCTCACATTTTCAGTAGCCATATCTGCAAGTTCAGCTTTTCATTATTATTAGGATGTGTTAAGCTGCAAAACAACAAAACAAAACGCAGAACGCATTTTGTATATCCATTTTTATTTGTTGCACGTACAGTTGTTTAGTACACAGACAGTGACAGCTTGTATATAGATGTACATAATACAGAAACACATTAGTTTTTGTAGTTTTCTTATGGCAAAGCAGGATAAGAGTGACTCCTACCGCAGTATCTTTAGACACATTTGTAACAACCAGCCCCCTTCCAGAAGAAGAAAAAAAACACAAACAACTTATTGCTTAATATAAAACAATGGCTAATCGTAACAATTGCAATCATATTAATTAATAATACTCATTGAATCCTCACGAGAATAAATGCAACACATGGTTAAATAAGAGCTACTATATTATAAAAAAGAGGAACTCAGGGGAAATCCAAAATGTAACAGTTCCACATGACAAAAGGCGGACCTATTTTTAGACGTGTGCCCTGAAAACAGCGAATATCTACAGCGTAGAACATAGATTTAGGGTGCAAGGGAAGGCAGGTATGGCAGGTCACACTGGTGCGAGCCCTGATTCGAGTTAAAAGGTGATATGGGGCCACATTAACAATACTGTACAGCACTTTCAAAAAGACATCATACATTCAGGGCCCCCAAGCGGAGATCAGGTATCGGGGAAAAAGTGCACCTTTGAAAGGTGGGCATGCTCTTTATTTCTTAATAAGAGCTAAAGACTGCATACTTCAAACAGAAACTTGAGGAAGAACGACACAAACACGAGGGTTGCATTGTCAACACTCATGCAAATAAACACCGGGGATAAACGTATGTGTGTGTGTGTGTGTGTGTGTTTGTCCATTCAGCCTTTTGAAGGAAACAGGTCGGAATTTTGCGTTTTAATCTCCTTTAAACGTTCCGCCTCTCCCTCTCGTTCCTCTTTCACATTCATCGTTTATTCCTTATTCACGCGTTCATGCTTCTCTTTGTACAGTATCTACAGTACTGCGCCCAGCTTAGCACGGAGCGAGGTCGATCGCGATGCGTTGCCTGGGTCGATAGCCCTTTTGGGGCGACTGGAAGTATCTGTGAGGGACGGGGCACCTTGTGTTTTGGGGATTGGGTTTGTTGGGGGTGGGATTTGCCCTACATTCCGAGCTTGGAGCCAAATTTGCTCCAGAAAGCCCCGTCCCTTATAGACAACGCGCAGGAAACACCCCGAAAAAGTATGTAATTGTGCACTTCCTGTTCGTGGAAGCCGCAGGAATATTGACATTCAATAAGACAGAAAAGCGTGAGTGTGGAATGGACAGTCAACAGTTGCTCCGCCCTCAGAAGTCTCACGTTAGCTGCATCAGCCAATCAGATCTCAGCTCAGCCATCTGTGGAATGTCTTTCAATCAAGCATTAACATTCTGCTCTACCACGTAAAGCTAATACGAAAGTAACTGAAACTGCAATTCATTGAAATTCCGCTAGTCCTAGCTCCAAAATACAGCATTTCTATTGACCTCACTGTTGAAATGGCCAACTTTACAGCAGAAAGAAAGGTGTTTACAGTCTGATACATGAAACGATTTTGGTACATATAGCTAATATTACCCTTGATGTCTTCTGTGAGGTGGGTGAATTTTTAAAACTCATCCATATCGTTTATTTGAAGTTATATTAAGTCTCCCAGAAAAGCCTGTCTAAGCAAAATGCTAGCAGACATCTGTAGCTCAGCTCACGCTCCGCCTCTTCGCCCCCTTTTTTGGTAGTAGTTTCCTACTTGTAGTTTCATTTGCGCTCCTCAAAAACCTATGGTTGTTGTCACAAATTCTACATATCTTTTACAGTCTATGCTATCAATTTAGTAATTTTGGTGAGTATTTTAGTTTAATTAGTCAGTTTTGTTCACTCATTTAATTGTAATTTTTATGTTTATTCTCAGGATTTTTGCTTTTTTTTTTTTTTTATGAGTACAGTTTGCACACACATGAACAGAGTTTTATGACCATGGACGACAATGAAGAAACATTGCTTTATAATAATTGCGTGAATTATACAGAAAATGATTTTATTTAGTTTTTAAAATCTACATTTATGCTATTACACTGTATGTTCTGTGGTGTGTTTTTAACAAAGCGGCAAATGAAAACACGCCAAATTTTTTTAAAGCAAAAGCTTCTTAGGAAAGTAACAGAAATGGTATCAAGGCTTTATCTTTGGACACAAATGGAAACATAAAAATAAATGTACTGTAGTTTCCATTCGCCACTATAGACGTTTACCAATCTATGACAACTTGAAATGTAAAATGTGTCTGGATGTATGAATTTAAATGAGTTCTAATGTTCTGTGTGAATGTATGTGCAATGTGTGTGTGTACATTAATTTAATTGTGCATGTGTATACATTCAAAAGCTCGGTTACCTTGCAGAGCCCAGCCCTCATCGGGAAATGTGTGTGTTTGCATTAGTGTGTGTCATCTGTATCAGTAGCTTTGGTATATTCTTCATGCGGGGCTGGGTGCTGTAAGGGAAGCTCGAAGCTTTAAATCTGTACCACTAATACACTGCAAACTCTTATCACACAGGCTCTGCCTCAGTCCACGGTTTCGGTTTGGTTTAGGTCAAAAACTGATTGTCTAGGAAAAGGAGACCGTAAAGAACCGATCCCAGGCAAAGCCGCTTTCATATGACAGGGAGTGCGTGTGGTAAAAGGGTACTCGTGTGGGATGGTATGTTGTATTTAATGAAGTGAGACTTGATTTTATTGTGCAACTGATTGTGAAGGAATGGCAAAATTAAGCATTTAAACATGGTAAACAAACCTTGGTCAGGTCACGCAGCTTATGTTAATGGGTAAAAAGGAGCTGTTCACACTGAAAGCAATTTTCCATTGATAGTCACTTTTGACATTCACACTTATTTTTAACATGATTTTCACTGTGTAAAAGGTAAATAAATGTGTCTCAATGTCTTTCTACATCTCACTTAAACCTGTATTTCATGCCTGATTTACATGATTTACATTTAGCTATCAATAATCTTTTTTTTCTTTCAGTGTGTGGTGATACATATGCTTCCAATGGAAGCTTTCACACCAAACAATGAACATGTTCATAGTTTCTCCTGTTGGAAGAATCTTCATTTTTTGTTTGCACATAAGGAACGTTTTTGTAGTAACTCTCTAACTATTTCCATAGGAACTTGCTTGTTTTTTGGTCTAGACATGTATTATTGTATTTACTAGTGGAAGTTCCATCAGAGGAACCATTTTTGTAGTGGCCCAAACCAGTAGTACTAACTTTTTTTTTACACCAAAGCGTCTAAAGTGTCTTCTTTGTGTTTGTTTGTAATACTGGATCTTTGTTAGGTTTATTTATAAACTCATTTCGAGAGGATCAAGTGCTTATGATTGATCACAGCTGGTCCCGCATTAGCTAATACATGATTCACCAATCAGACGATTGCTAAGTCACCATAAATAACCTACGTTCCGTACCACAGTCATCTTCGTTTTGAAGAATCCCCCCTTCCACCCCTACTCCTCCTCCTTTCCTAGATGGACGGCACAGCGGCCCAGTGGTTAGCACTGTTGCCTCACAGCAAGAACGTCACCGGTTCTTGTCCTTACCAAGCCAGTCGACATTTCTGTACTGTGTTTACTTGTTCTCCCCAGTTTCCTCCCACCATCCAAAACATACAGCTTAAGTTAATTGACTAATCCAGACATGCTCCATGAGGGAGCCCCATGCTCGAGGATCTCATGAGCTCAGGGCTCTCTCCCAGGACAGCATGCCAAACATGCTTTATAATCAATCATCAGCTAAGCGTGAACTCTTAAAAAATGGTTTAAATTACAGGCTTATTTTTCAGGAACTAAACTGGCTTCTACATGAGAGTAGGATCTAACCCAAGCACAATAGGAACTATTAAAGACTATTAGCCTCAGAGATTCAATTCTACGTCAGTTGCTGATGTTCTTCAATGACGCACTTCGGGTACAGAAATAGTGGTAATTACAACATTACTTCCTATTAGCTCCCGCATAGTTCCTATAACTACCGGTTGACCCTGATGGCTGAATGAGGTGAGATGATTGGCCGAAAGCTACTGTTTACTGTTTAAGAGATTTCCACCCTCTTCGACAACATAATCCCTTCACTTTCTTTTGAGAGGGAGAGCACTATATGGCTGCAAAGTTCAGTCATAAATCACTAATTAGGAACCCTCTCTGTCTCGTTTTTTGTTTCGATCTCTTCCTTAGGTTGGGTCCCTTCGACCTGCAACCCAATCCTCAAAGACTGTCATAGGACAGGAATGAGTGAGAGCAAGGGCCGATGGGATTTGTAGTTTTCTCTAAGGAGGAGGTGAAGGCTAGAGGCAGCAAGCGAAGGGTGCAGAAATACTGACACACAGAGAGATACTGTAAGTAACCGTGTTACAACGTAGGGGGAACCAAACACTGTTCGGAAGGGGGGAGGGGGGTGGGGGGGCAGCAAGTCTTTATTTTATACAGGAATAGTTCAGCTCAAAATGAACACCAATCAAAGTTCTCCCAAACCGGAATGGCTTCTCATCTTCATGTGGAACAGAAAAGTAGATATTTAGTAGTATGTCCAAGATGCTCTCTTGCATATTGTGAAAGTGGAAGTGTCATCACGTTCCAGAACATACACTATTCAAGCATCATTAAAGTAGCTCATATGACCTATGAACTATATTATAGGTCTTCCCAAGCCATCTCATGACAAAAAGATTCACTGTCATTATTTGGTGAACTGACGTTTGAACCATCTCATTTTGTGTTCTATAGAAGAAATTAGGTCATACAGGTTATCATCCCTGACGCAAGTCATTTCATTTATGGGTGAACTATTCCTTTATGATGGCTAACATTGAAAAAAAAAACAGAGAGATTAAAGGACATAGAAAATGGCTGACAAAGAAAGAATGAACGCAATATGGAGAGCATCATTCTTCTCACGCCCTCCCTTCCATGCCACATCTCTCTAAATGTGTGCGTGTGAGAAAGTGCGCAAGGGTTCAGCAGGACACTTCCATGGTGTGGCTGACCTGCCCGACGCCCTCGCTGCTGTCCGAGTGTGTGCATGCGCGGTTGCGAGATCCATCCACAGAGCCGGCGCTGGTCAGAGAGGCCGTTCGGGAGCGAGCGAGACGGGTCATACTGGCCGAGGGCACTGCGAGAAGGAAGTAGAAAGAGAGAGAGAAACGGAAAAAAAGGATGAATAGTTATTTTATGTCCACAGGGAAGTTCGTCCTGGCTGCATGATGCGTTGCAGAGGCAGGGATGACATGCTTGAACTTTTAGTCGAAAATAATTTCAGCCTCAAGCTGATAACATTCCACGGCAGACGCTTCAGAATGACTCAAATCTAACTTAAATGGCCAACCGGAAAAATGTTTACTTAAGGGCTGTTGCGTTCAGGAAAACAAAAAACATGTTCTTAACCTATTTTCAGCGTATGTAAACATCTTTAAACGAGACAAAGTTACTTAAGCAAAGCAGGGCAGCAATACGATTACAGATTTTCTTCACCCTATTGATTCTTTCAACCCAGGCTCATTATTCATATGTACCCCTGTATACATTTCTGGGCAGCGCAAAATACATCCAAGAAGCTACATTTTTTTTGCTGTTTTTGTTTTCGTGAATACTGTGTACGCCTTTTCAGATATAAAATTCCTCTCGCAAGTGCCATTCTCTCATGTATATCCACAAGAGGCCGCTGTCGACTGACTGATTGACTGACTGACCGACAGCCTACTCATCCACCCACTTCCCTAAACACAAGCGACAGGGTTTTTAAAAGCAATCCAGAAATAGAAAAGCTCTCACGGCCACCTGATTTTTACCACATTTTCAGATCTTACCACATTCTCACCCTGTTATTTAGTTTATTTTTGGCCTACTGTTAATTGTTTATTTTGACACATTGTTTTTGTTTTACCTGCTTTCTGGAACTCAAACCTCGTCGTCGTGGTCAACTCCTCTTTGCATCTCAAGTCCACTGACTTACAACAAGCTACTGGGCAAACTGGTGTAAGAGTCTAAATTATCAAATGCATTTGTTTATATGGAAAACATGTCTTTCACCAAAGAAGGTCCATACTGACTCTAAAGGCAGATACTGATGAGATCAGGGGTTAAAACCCATTCTTACACTGGTAACAGCAGAATAGCCATCTACACGGAGGTAAGTGGTCAGCTGGTAGCACAAAAAGAAACAGAAGCCGTTAGCAGCATTATACCGGCCCGTAGCATTCATTTTTTTAAGATGAACTGCAGCCATAAATTTTTCTGGCTAAATAATTCGCATTCCTCCATAAATGTATACAGGGGTAAGTTTTTTACAATAAGCCTGTGTAGGATTATTTCCCTTGCTTTAAGAATAAATCTCAATAAAATCGATAAAGATAATAACAAAAAACAATTGTCATTAGTAAATTCTTTGAAACATGTAAACAATATCATCTATGTCCTAATTTGGTGAACTTTGTATCAACCATTTTGATTTTCTTTAAAAACCTTTTTTATACTTCTTCTAAATGGTTGGTCTGATTTCCACAATTTTGATATCTTGAGATCATGCTGGCATAAAAGGTACTACACTGATTTTTATTTTATTTAAAATGAGTTTTTAGGGAGGACAACTTCATTGTTTTAAGTTAAATCCACTTAAATGAGAAAAATCGATTTGGTTAACTTAATTGATTTGTGTTGAGTTAACAAGAAGGAATTGTGTAAAACCCAGCAGTATTTACAGTGCATATTTTGTGTCATGGATAGGTGAAATCGTTTTCATTTATTGCCATTACAAATGTGCAAGCCTTCTCCCAACTGCATGCGAGGCTAAAACATTTTAAAAATCACACCAAACATAATATGTGCCACCTATTGGTCAAGTTATTGTCAATCATGGTTGTTTAGCCATTTTAATAAAATATATATATTTAATTATGTGTGCTTATCTAGTGCATGACTTCATAACTGCTGCTGTATTTTGAATTAAAGATTTTCTGTTTGTGTGAATTTAATTTTGTGGGGTTATTTTACTATGTAAGTGTGTAGTCATGTCTAGTTTTGATAACATTCATTTTTGCTTCAAGTAAATGACTAATTTTATGGATGTTTAGATAGTTGTACTGAAAACAAAACACAAATACTGTTAAAAATACTCTAAAGATACCGTTTTTGAAACCAAAAAATATATAGATTATTTTACAAAAACAAATACAGGAATATAAAATGTATATATAGAATTTAAATATATAAAACAAATAAATATGTATAAAATATATAAATAAAACACATCAAATATAAATGGTCTACAAGCGCTCTTAAAACAGCGTGTTCCTTTCATTTAATTGCATGCCATGTTTCTAAACCCAAAATATTTGAATTTTTTTTTTTTACTTTAGATGTTTCATTTTCATATAACTGCCATGCAGAGAGCATGAGAGCGCATTCAAAGCACATTTTTCCTCCAGAGGAAAAATTATCGTTCAGTAAAGGAAATAATGAATGAATGGAAAATCAGTCTGGGAAAGATAAATACAAACAAAAAAGTGATAAAAAAGGGGGACTAGAAGACTAAACTAAACATATCTAAATGAGGGAGAGGGCAGGCGTGAACCGGAAGCAGGAAGTACCTGGCCCCCCACTCATTCTCCGATCCTTCATATAAGCAACTGAGAAGGGCAGGAAAATACACACATGGCACAGATTATAACAACATATCTGCACACACACAAACACACACACTAAATTGCATACATACACTGCTACTGTACATAACACAACTGTCTCAACATGGGTGAAAGACAGACAAGGGAGAAAGGACAGACTGAAAATATCAGATCGGTTTACATTTAGAAAAAGAACGAATTAAACTGATTTGGGCAGAAACTTTCAAGAAATACACCGATCATCAAAAATCAGTAAATCAGACTTACTGTAACCCATTCCCTGCAGGAAGTACTTGAATGCCTCTGTGAGTTTGCCAGGCTGTGGGATTCAAAATGTTTAACAGTTTATATTAATATATATATTTATTTTCATCACATTGAGCATAAATATATTAAAGTAATTCATTCATAATAATATTTTATCTTTACAAAGGTTATCAAACATTTTGCTTGCATGTTTTCTATAATATAAATGTTTCATAATATGCTTTTTATGTTCTGTATATAATATTAATTGTATTTTAATGTGAACATAAAATTGTAACACACAAAAAACTTACACTCTAAAGTGTTATTTCAACCCAATTCTGGGTACATTACGGACTAAACCAAATGCTGGGTACATTTTTAACTCTTTAACTGCCTGCTCTACTAAACGGTTGACCATATTTTAACTGTTTTAAATGATGATTGTTAGGGTCATTTAAGGAATGACTGTTTTAAATAATGGTTTACACACACAGCATTGTTGGTTTACAAAAATCTTTTATTTTGATTATGTTTTAAAATAAATTGCTCTTACACTTTATATTTTCTGTTTTTTTCATAGTTTATTTATTAATTCCGTATGATAATACATTTACCATAAACTGACATATTAACCAGTTGGTATAGGTTGATATTATAGAAATGATGGGATGCATTGAGTGTGTTAACTAGTGAACGTTCGAGGTTACTAAAGTAACCCTTCGTTCCCCGAGGAGGGGAACGGAAGCACTATAAGTGGATTTGATTGTAAAATCCACGCATTGGGAGGTTCGGTTCAGAAGCTACTCGTCTGAAAGAGTATTGAACGGGCCAATTAAGAATGAATTAGCAGCGCAAGCCTGCGCAGGTGAGCGGCATAAGCAATCAACTGAGTATATAAGCTCACCTGGCGCCAGCAGACGCTATCCTTTTTAAGCTGAAGAGACTTTTAACAGCTAAGGGACAGTCATTATGGCGACGGAGTATAGTGCTTCCGTTTCCCTCCTCGGGGAACGAAGGGTTACTTTAGTAACCTCGAACGTTCCCCTTCGGGGGGAACTCCAGCACTATAAGTGGATTTGATTGTAAAATCCACGCATTGGGAGCCCATTGAAAGCGCCATAATGACTGCACCTTAACCGTGGCGGAATAAGCATATGGGATCACCTAGTGGGGATCACGCATAGCAGGCACCTTTACCCAAAACGCGGGCTGACCAGCGGGCAGACCTACAACGTAGTGGGCCAGCAAGTGACTCCTCCGCTGAGTCAGTGCTGGGGGCCACGGAGGAATCTGCAGGGCTCACCTGATGGGGAACTTTACTGACAGATAAAAAGGCGCACGTATCTCCGTGTTAGGGAAAATGGCGCAGCAAGCGTGTTTCAACACCCTACCGAATTGTTTCCTCAATTACCAAGGGTTACCTAATACCCTTGAGGAAACCGGCTCCACTCGCAGATTGTAAAACCTTGCAAATGTGTTGGGTGTCACCCAGCCAGCAGCTCTACAGATGTCTGTTAGAGGGGCGCCGCGTGCGCGCGCTCGAGAGGATGCGAAGCCCCGAGTGGAGTGCGCACGCGCTCTCGGGGGACGCGGCTCATCTCGGCTCTGATAGTGAAAGAAAGGCATCCACAATCTAGTGGGAACTTATTTCGGTACGGCACTTCCCTGCTGCCGACCGCTATAACAGACGAAGAGCTGCTCAGATGATCTAAACTCTGAGTGCGGTCCGGATAATACGCAAAACGCGAACTGGACAATAAAGAAGGGCTGGGTCTGCCTCCTCCGAGGGCAGCGCTTGCAGGCTCACTACCTCGTATTAAAACGGAGTGGTAGGAACCTTGGGCACATATCGCGGGCGGGGTCTCAGGACGTGAGAGAAGCCAGCCCAATTACAGGCACGAGTCACTGACCGAAAAATGCCTCCGGGTCCCCGACCCTCTAATCGATATCAACGCGACCAGCAGAGCTGTCTTCAGGGACAGAAAGATACTGAGTCGAGGATCGAAAGGATCTGACGCGGCTTGTGTAGCGAGGGCGAGATCCTAAGAGGGCATGAGAGGGGGCGGGGTGGATTAATTCGCTTAACGCCCCTGAGGAACCGGATGATGAGGTTATGCGTTCACACGGTGCTGCCAGCCACCGCGTTATGAGAGCGGAGATGGCAGCCACGTAACCTTGAGTGTGGAGGGCGACAGCCTGCTCTCCAGCTTCTCTCGGCGTAAAGAAAGCACAACGCTGATCTGGCAAATTACGGGGGTCTTCTCAGCGAGAGACACACCATTCAGTGAATAGACTCCACGTCAGGGCATAGGCGCGCTCGGGGAGGGGGCTCTAGCCCGAGTGACGGTATTAGCCACCGCAATCGGAGGTTACCTAAGTCTTCCTCGCGTCTAAAAATCTCCAAAGATCGGCGAGGGTGCCAGGTGGTGCCCTGTCCCTGAGAGAGTAGGTGCTCTCTCGAAGGGACTGCCAGGGGAGGGCTATCGCGAGGGAGAGCTCTGACATCCAGGTCCGGTTGAGCCAGAGGGGCGCAACCAGCAACCTGTTCCTCGTCCTCCCTGACCTTGCACAGTAACTGCGCGAGCAGGCTCACTGGGGGAAGCGCGTATTTGCGCGTGCCCCGAGTCCAGCTGTAAGCCAGTGCATCCGTGCCGAGAGCACTCGGTCAGGGAAAGAACAACTGGCAATGAGCGATCTCGGGGGAAGCAACAGATCGATCTGGGCTTCCCCGAATCGCGCCCATATCAGCTGAACAGACTCTGGGTGGAGTCTCCATTCTCCAGGACGCAAGGCTGCCGTGAGAGCGCATCGGCTGCACGGTTGAGCTTGCCTGAATATGAATGGCGTGCAGCGATTTCAGCCGCGGATGACTCCAGAGGAGCAGACGGCGGGCAAGCTGAGACATGCGGCGAGAGCGCATACCCCCTATACGGCTGATATACGCCACCGCCGCCGTACTGTCCGTCCTGACCAGCACGTGTTGCCGCTCCAGCACCGGAAAAAAACGGTGGAGAGCGAGGAACACTGCCAACAGCTCCAGGCTATATGCCAATGCAACTGGGTACCTTCCCACAGGTCCGCAGCCGCATGCCCGCAACGCACAGCCCCCCAGCCCGTGTTGGAAGCGTCTGCTGAAACGACAACAAGACTGGACGCCTGTTCTAGAGACACCCAGGCCTGTAGGAACGAGGGGTTGCTCCAAGGGCTGAGGGCGCGGCGACACAGCGCAGTAACAGAGACTCGGTGTGCGCGCGCGTGCCATGCGCGTCTGGGGACTCGATCGTGATCAGCCAGTGCTGAAGTGGTCTCATATAGAATAATCCGAGCGGCATGAAGCGGCTGCGGATGCCATATGCCCCAGGAGCCTCTGAAATAGTTTCAGTGGGACCACTATTTTACTGTCGAGCTCTCTCAGACAGTACAGCATCAGCTGAGCGCGCTCTCCGGAGAGGCGCGCTGCCATGGTGACCGAGTCCAGCTCCAGCCCGAGAGAAGAGATCCTCTGCACGGGGGCGAGTTTGCTCTTTTCTCGGTTGACCTGAAACCCCCACAGGTGGAAGTGCCAGAGCACTTTGTCTCTGTGCATAATCAATTGCTCCGAGAGAGGGCAAAAATCAGCCAGTCGTAAAGAAATCGAGTATGCAGATGCCTGCGAGCCGAAGGGGCGCTGAGGCACCCTCCACGGGCTTGGTGAGGACCCGCGGAGACAGAGAGAGCCCGAAGGGGAGGGCTTTGTATTGCCCACGGAAAAGCTGGAGGTGAGATATTTGCTCTCACTCCGAACCCGAGCTCCGGAGGGGAGGCTCGAGGGGTGGGAGAAAGGAGACCGTCCTCCCAGCGCTCGTGAGCCACTGGCGAAATGCACCGGATCTGCAAGCTAGAAAGCATAGCGTCCCAGACTGGCAGATTTCAGGCTGTCACATCTGGGGAAGTGAAAAGTGCCCTTTCATAATGTTTTCATGGCAGTAAAAAGTGCCGTTGGAAATGGGGCCCCGCCCTCCAGCGGGGAAAGAGCAAGTTCCCTCTTCTCCAGATGGCCTGTCCCAGGGACGCTTCGCGGTCCGTTGCCAGACTTAGCGGCGTTCTGGGCAGGGGGGCTGCCTGCTTCCGAGGTGCCCGACGCGCTCGCTTCGCCAGAGGCGTGTGCGGGGGCGGAGCAGCTCTCGTAGGCGGGCGCCTTCGGCGAGGAGCAGGTATGAATGGCACGGCGGGCGGAGCGGGCTACGGACCGCCGATAAGACATCACCCACCAACTGCTCTCTAACCACCTTGAATTCCTGGGTGAATTCACAGACGGTGTCGCCGAACATGGCTTGGGATATGGGGAAAGTCAAGAAAGCGGACTTTGTCGACTTCGCGCATATCAGCCAGGGGTGGCGCTCCTGGATCACTAATGTGGTCATCGTCTTCCCCAACGCACACGCAGCGGACTCAGTAGTCCGAAGAGCTAAGTCGGCGGCGGTGCGAAGCACGTAAGCCTGGGTTGGACCCACCCTCGTGCAGCTCGGCCAGCGCCTGCGCTAGGTAGCGCTGGTAGGTGGCTATCGCATGCAAGGCGGAAGCAGCCTGGCCCGCAGCTATGTAAGCTCAAGCTCAGAGGGAGGTAGATAACTTACAGGCTTTGGATGGGAGACGAGGCGGACCCCGCCAAGAAGAGGCGCCGCGCGGATTTACCGCCATCACGCACTCAACCTGAGGAATCGCCACATACCCCCTGGCTGTTCCACCGTCAAGAGTGGTTAGGGTGGAGGGACACGCAGCATGAGCAGAACAAAAGTGCTTTACAAGACCGCGTGAGCCTACTGTGCACCTCCGGGAAGAAGGGAACGCCCCTCTAGTCGGTCCGGCCGCGGAGCAGGGGGATAAACCATCTCCAACCCACGGCCGAAGCAGCCCGGGAAAGCACGGCTAACATGTCCGTTTCAGGATCCGTAGTGACAGCGCTCACCAGCCCGAAGGGGGCGAGCGGGTCTGGATCATCATCGGATAATGAAAGCCCACCCTCCGATGCCGCGGTGGACGTCTGGTCTCCGGTGTCATCGGGCGTAAGGGCTACCATCTGTTAGACGGATCGCTTCCCCCGCCCGAAGCTTGGATGGAGCGCTTAGGGGAGCGGGAGGTCCGCGGGCCCGTGGGAGACGGATTATCTCTCGCTGAAACCCTCAGATCTGCCCGAGTGCCCGCTGCAGAGCAGGGGACAACTGGGGTGGTTCGCCCTTTTGCAAAGGCTAGCCGCGATCTTTACTGCGCAACAGTCATGGCATCGCAATGACAACATGAACTGCCCGCGAGCAGCGCATTAACATGCTGGACCCCCCAGACATGCAACGCAGTGCTCGTGCCCATCATCCGAGGACAGGAAACCACCGCATCCAGAAACGCACAGTCGGAGCGCCTTCCTGAAAAGGACGTGCTGCACGACTGTGTTGCTCTTTCTGTGAAGTTTGCAACTTTATACGCACCGCTCTGGAGGACCGGACCCAAAGAACGCCAGGCAAGGGAGAAACCCAGCTCGACCGTCTGCCGCTGCGTGTACACACTCTGGACCGGGAGAATGCTCTCGTTCGCTCAGAATCGCTGGTCACAGCAGGAGGAACCCTCATCGACTCGATCAGAAAGTCTCTGAAGCGAAAAGGATAGCGTCTGCTGGCGCCAGGTGAGCTTATATACTCAGTTGATTGCTTATGCCGCTCACCTGTGCAGGCTTGCGCTGCCAATTCATTCTTAATTGGCCCGTTCAATACTCTTTCAGACGAGTAGCTTCTGAACCGAACCTCCCAATGCGTGGATTTTACAATCAAATCCACTTATAGTGCTGGAGTTCCCCCCGAAGGGGAACTTAGAAGTTAAGAGATGCAATTCAAAAAATATTTTCTTGGTGGGGCAGTTTGGGTTTGTTCAGTTTATGCAATTTGGGTTTAAATTACCCAGCATTTTTTAGAGTGCAAGTATATAGAAATATTTAAATTATATTTATTAGTTAATAGTGCTCTATTAAGTTTAAAGTCAATGTGAACCGGAAGTTGCTGAGAATTTTATTTTGTAATCTTTCAGTATGTTTATGTACAGTATTTCCAAATGAATTAGAATATTGAGTAGGGGGCTGGGCTTTCTTTTTGTACATCATTTCCTCATAGCAAACTTACAGTAAGAGGGTTGTGGCTAAGAATACTATAGCTGAAGCCATTAGATTGACATCAACAGAGATTGACTGCCACTCTAAACGCGACTTTGACTGAAGATCACCAACAAACTTTTTTTTTTAACTTGCACAAATTAATTGCTGACCTAAAGAATAATAATTTGTGCTTGCAAAAAAATATATATATACATATTTAAATGATTTCAGACAGACATTAAATTTGTGCAAAACTGACAAAATCTCACCTGTGTGATCTGAGGCATTCCACCTGAATCAGCCATCTGAAACAAACCAAATTTATTTTGGAAAATGTCAGAGTAAAATATGATGTGCCAAAATAGCCAAAACAAATTGTCTAAAAAAATAAAAATAAAAATAAATAAAAAGGTGTTTTCACACTTGCCTTCAGGAATGTGGTGTTGGTTGGATCCAGCTTGGAATTGCACTCAACCTAAAAATTGGAAACATTTATAGAATGTTTTTTCCAAATATCTGTACACTTATTTATTAGAAAATAGTTAACTATACTGTATGTGACAAACAAAACATTATTTAATTTTGACAATAATTGTATTTTCAAAGCAAACAATATGTATATAAAATATTCAGCAAATGAGAAATAAATGACCAAAAACAATAAAAACAGACAAAATCTTTGAAAATCATAATACATGCAAGATTAAAATGTGTAGATTATTTAAATAAGGCAAATGCGTTGATTAACCATTAAAAATGGTGTATACATATTTTGCAGCCAGTTTAGACCAGTCATTTCATCCTTTCTGAGTATTTAGTAAAGTTCTTCTGAGTCGTTTAGATGCAAGAATGACACTGGAGCTTTTTAAAGCCACGATTCATCAGCGGATCGCTCTTATGTCATCTTTTAAATAAACCATCTGATCGGTGTGACTTTGAAATGCTCCAGTTTCCCTGTATATGTGGTTACACTTAGTAATTAGTCATTTCTGTTAAGCACGTGAACACAACAGCAAATCAGCAGTGTTTAAGAACGCGCTCAACAGCACTCAAATGTTAGCGGAAAATGGCCATTTTTAAAATTTTAGTACTGATTGGTGACGAATTCTAGTATCGTGACACTAGTTTCACTAAATATAGGCTACTTGGGCAGCCGTTAATACACCTGGGCGGCCCGGCCAAGTAAAGTATATGTGTGGGAAGCACTGAGGAAGCTGCTTTTATCCAAAATGAGAAAAACATCAAAATCAATCCACAAACGAGCCACAAGTTTAATATGAAATAAAGTAGCAGCTCAAGGATTGTGCAAAAAGATGTGCCTTCAGCCATTTTTTTAATATTACTCAAAGACTCCAACGATATCACACGTCAATCCGTAACTTGATTTAGCGGCTAATTCCTATGAATTTGTACGATCTCATTCATACAATTTAGTATGATTTACTCATCCCCCAATGATGGATGGCTTTAGGGGTGGGGTTTGTTGCCACGCCCCTTTTAAAAATCATACACTTTCGTATGACTGAACTCACCACCTGCCATCAGAAACATTGACTCCCTCATACTATTCAAATCAAGACTCAAAACCCACTTATTTAAGATTGCTTTTAATACTTAATTAATTAATTTTATCTGCACTATTGTTGTGTATATTTTCATTATTTCTCATTGTTATATTGTTCTTGTTTTATTGTACGGTGTCCTTGAGTTGCCAGAAAGGCGCCTTTAAATAAAATGTATCATTATTATTATTATATGAATTCATAGGTATTAGCCAATAAACTAACTAAATGAAAAATTTACATCTCCTCATGAGATCTTGAGTTGAATCTGGAGAAGTTACATAATGTAAAATGTGCAAATGTTTGAGGGAATTAACAGCTTTATTTAAAGACAATATATAAATATGATGTATGTATGTGTATGTGTGTGAGGTGTGACCCAGTTACTGCAGTGCTGCAGAGATGAGTCATACAGTATTTGAGTGCTGAGGAAAAACAGCTGTGCAGACGGATTCGCCTGCGGCTCCTGTCACACCAGCGCAGATACAAGTGCCCTCTTTCTAACATGTGCTTGATTTTGATGAAAACTTTTCCCACAAGTGTCTGTATTAGTCAATAAATGTTTCGCTAATACATCAGGTCACAAATCACGGTATTAACAAACCACTAACTAACACGGCTAGCTTAATAAACTAGTTTTTTATTCATAGTAAGTCCCAACCAGCTGCAACCCATCACTGGGAAACATCCATACACCCTCCTTCACACACATACACTACGGACAATTTAGCTTACCCAATTCATCTATACCACATGTCTTTGGACTTGTGGGGAACACCAGAGCCCCCGGAAGAAACCCACACGAACACGGGGAGAACATGCAAACTCCACACAGAAATGCCAATTGACCTAATCGAGGCTCGAATTAGCGACCTTCTTGCCGTGAGGCGTTCGTGCTACCTACTGCGCCACCGTGACGTCCCTCTTTATTTTACGTGCTCATTTATTTATTATTTTCCTCCTAATCTCTTACTCATCCATCTGTTGTTTCTTCTGCTCCCACCTTCTCATCATCCTCCTCTTGCCCTAAATTTTTCACAAATCTGTTTCTTCTCTCATCCTCCTTTCATCTACAGTACCCCTCACTCTTAGCTGTCTCTCCTTCCCTCTTTTTCTCCCTCATCTCTCACCCTGTGTGTCTGATTAGATGTGATGGGGCACTGACCCAGCTTTTATATGTTAGATTAAAGAACCACAGCGCAGAGTTATAAATATCCAGTGCACACAAGCTGGCAAAGCCCAGGAGATCAACCCTTAGGCTGGTGCCATCTGCTCCCACAAGACCACCGGAAAAAAGAAGATTGCGCTCTCTCTGAGTGACAGTATACACGGGTATGTTTGGAAGGAGATGGAAATTTGTTGGAATTTTGGCTTTTTGTTTGGTAAATTGTTTAATCACAATTTATCAATAGCTGGTTTCCATCATCCCATATTAATGGACATTATAATGTCTCAGAAGAATGAGTGATGGAAATGCCAAATTTGCCACTTGTGTATTAAAGGGTAAATGTGGAAACACAACAAATAAACTCTTATGAGATAAAATTACACCCATATAACCTAACAGCTGTCTCCATTGTGGCTGCCAAGTTACCAAGACTACAGTCGGCTGCTCTCAAAACATGATAAAAGTGCAGTTTTGCAATTATAAAGACTATTCTTGCTTTATGTTTCTTTTCTCTTGCTCTAAAACATAAATCTCCACATTATAGTGACAGAATTACACCAAACTACACTGTTTCATTCATATCTGTACTTTAAAGCAGTGTTGGGGAGATTACTTGTATGTAATAGATTACAGATTACAAATTACCCTTTTTAAAATGTAGTAAGTAGTGTACCTTTTCAATTACTTTATAAAAGTAAAGTTCATAAACTGATAACATTTGATTACTTTCAAGTTTCTAATAGATATTTTCAACTAAATAATTTTTAAGGATTTATCCCAAGCAGGTGTGACCTTATAGTAGCCTAGCTCTCTGTTTACTTTTAGAATTTCAAAATCCTTCATCACTTAAATTAACATTAATAATGTCATGTGCATATTTAAACAAAATTTTTAAGTGTATGGTAATAACTATTACTGTAGTTAATGTTTTAACTTTCTCTTTTCTTCTGAAGGATGATGAACAGAACTCACCACCCCCTCCTCAGCCGGAGCATTGTCCCCAACTACCAGCATGACTGGGCATCTGCAAGAAAAACAGTTCAAACTTCAGCCTGAACAATGAGGTACAGTTAGGTAAAGTCTAATTAATTTAGTTCCTCACCTGAGGGTCTTAGCATTTATCACAGAGCCACTGCGGTTCATTTCCAAATCCCTGCGGCTAAGAGGGAAAACATTTTGAAATAAGCACTTTTATTCTCTTAATGCATTTTCTATCATTTTATGCAGATTAATTAGGCGGTGAATGTTTACCTGTTGTACATATTCCAGAAGAGCTGCAGGTTGAACTGGTTGATGGTGTTGTTGATCTGCTGGCGGTAGTTCTGCACAACTTCTGTGTTGCTCATAAGCTCCTCCTGTCATTCAAATACAATTTTGTTATTTTAGGTCAGTATTGAGAATTCTACCTAAATTTAAAGGGATGGTTTACCCAAAACTGAAAGTTTGTTGCCACTTTATATTGTGACCTTAAATAATATGTACTTACACTGAAATCAATAATTTGTTTCTATGTACTTATTGTGTAAATACAGGTTTTTACATTGTACTTAAGGCCCAATCACACCAGGACACTTTTTGCTTGCGTTTTCCAATGACGTTTAATGCCTCTTGACTAAATAAAGGGTGCCAATGACATTGTGCACACTAACGCGCAAAAACACCAGGCGTAAAAGCGCCATTTTTAAAGAAACGCCTCATGGTAATTTTTTTGTTTTGACGTGCCACGTCAAAACCTTCTCGACCAATCAGATTAGCACTTTTGTACACATGCACAAACTGCTGAAGTTAGAGTAAACAGCACTTAGAGGCGCTCAAGCACAAAACTGTCAATGCCAGCGCACATTGACGAAGATGCCCAGAAGCGATATGAGCATGGAGCTGCTTATTACACTGGTGAATAATAATAATTTCTTCGTCGCTAGAGCTGCTACTTGAACCACACATGCTTGTTCTAATCGCCAGTAACTTTAACAGCAAGCGTTTCAACTTTCTTTTTCTGTGTTACAAGCGGGTGTCAGATGCTTAAAGTTGCTTAAAGAGGCTTAAAGTTGTGTACTGGTGTCTGCTAGACACCAGTGAAAAATCGCTTGGGTTTGAATGCGGAAAAACGTCTCGAAAATGCTGACAATAAACGCAAACGAAGCATCCTGGTGTGTTTGAACCTTTATGCTTAATTAAATACCTGTATACCTTAATTAAATACCTGCATTTCTGTAATTACATTTAGAATTACATTTTTGACCATCCCATACACCTTAATCCACTTTTAAACACACCTCTAACCTTACCCATATCTCACCTCAATAGCACAAGACAAGTTCTGCAATACTTTATGAACACATTAAGTACATTACACTTATTTTGTCTATATTGCCTATATTTTGATGCAAGTACATAATAGTTAATGACATAATATAAAGTGGGATCGAAAATTCTGTCATCATTTACTCAGCCTTTACTTGTCACAAACCTGTTTGAGTTTCTTACTACTTCTGATCCCAAAGGATGTTTGAAACCGGTAACTACTGACGTCCATAGTATTTGTTTTTCCTTCTCTGGATGTCAATGGTTAACGGTTTCAAGCATGTTTTGAATATCTTCTTATGTGTTCAACAGAAAAAAGAAAGTCAAACAGGTTTTGAAGCATTTGAGGGAGAGTGATGAATACCCTTTAATTTTTTAATTCATTAAAAGAGTCTTTTAAATCTAAATATGAATAACTAAAATTTTTGTTATATAAATCATAATTAAAGTGAAAGACTTTTTACGTGTGTGTCTTCTGTAGATACATAACACATCTTTTACTTTTCATCCCAACCACCTTTAAATTGACTTTATTTAAAAAAAAAAAAAAGCAATGTAGGCTAGTATTGTACCTGGCTGAAAAGATGGGTCAGTACGGTGTCTGGTAAAGTACTGGTGAGTCCTGACAGTTTAGTGGCAGCCCAGTCGATCCATCCTTTTCCATTGGGATCAATGTTTAGCAGAACCAGACCCTCCACAAGATCAGGGAAAATCAGCTGCGAGTAGACATGCAGAATTGCATTAAATGTAAATAATTAATAATATAAACTAATATAGTAAAGTAAAAGGAGGAGATGTACTAACCGCGAATTTGGCCAGGATGTAGGCTCCAGCCCCAACTCCAATTCCGACAATGCTTTTGAAGCTAAAACGAAAAGAGAGAGAGTTGACTAATTTAAATAAGGACATTTAAGGAATGGGTTTACTATTATAGCTCATTGTTTTGAATATAATCAAACAACTCTTACCCAAAGTGTTGCACCACACTAGGAAGCATCCCAGCTAGCTGATCCATAGTGGGATACTGATATCTAGCAATAACAACATAAATAAACAGTTATATATTCATTGATATTTCATGACATCTAACTGGTCAACATTTAGTGCTCAAATATTTCTTTATATCTATCCACCATCCTGTCTGTTTCAGAAATTAAGCAAGATTTTACTACAAATAAATCATGGCTTCTGTAGATAAAACCATGGTGACCACAAATTAACCATGGCTTTGCTGTTTCGTAATGGACTCTCTCTCTCTTTAGTGGAGATTCTAACATTATTTCCGATTATGAGGGAATAATATACCTCACACAATATTTCATGGCACATTCATGGTAACTTTGTGTTTAGTAGAGCTGTGTAAAACTGTTTGAAAAATCGATTCTGAGACTTTGAGCTTAGTTCTTAACAGCAGAAGGCGCTGTATGGCTTACAAACTGCCATACTCTGCTTGCACTGCAATTCCATACAAATACCACTTGAACCTAAAATAATTATTAAAGTTAGGAAAGGTTTAAGTGAATTACAAGTGTTCATAATGAGCGTTCATGTCTTTGATCGCATGGCATCAAAGCCAACTTGCATGACTGGAATGCAACTCTTCCTCCTGAGCATTCGAGTGTAGCTATTCTTAAAATCTGAACTAGAGCGCCATCTGCTGGTAAAACTAACTTAGAGCGCCATCTGCTGTTAGTAGCTAATCTAGCGTGCCATCTTCTTTTAAAAACTAATCTAGAGTGCCATCTGCTGTTAAAAACTAGACTAAGGCACCAACTGCTGTTAAAAACTAAACTAAAGTTCCATCTGCTGTTAATAACAAGCCTAGAGCACAAGCTGCTTGTAAAAACTAAACTAGAATGCCATGTGCCATTAAAAACTATTCTAGAGCGCCATCTGCTGTTAAAAGCTGGTCTAGAGCACAAGTTGCTGTTACAAATGGGTGTAGTATACATACACACACACACACACACACACACACACACACACATATATATATATATATATATATATATATATATATATATATATATATATGCACACACACGCACACACACACACACACACACACACACACACACACACACACACACACACACACACACACACACACACACACACACACACACACACACACACATATACACACACACACACACACATATCAGATTTGTGTAATATATATCAGAAAGTACAAAAAAACTTTTAAAAATGTGCTACTTTTAGTGTTTAAAAATAGATAGTTTGTAATGTTTTTATGAAATCTGTAGTGTAAACCATTAAAATATTATGTGATGGATTTTATTGTTTATATAACATATAGGCCTATAGGTGTATGTCAGTGTGTGCATTCATCTTACCCTTGAGGCATCTGGGGGGCTCCAATGTGCTGGCCTGGGGCATCTACATGGCACACCACAAAGTGCTTAGTGATCTCCAGCATGTCTTCGTTCTGGAAGAAGCTGTTGAAGCACAGCTTGTCTGTTCAGGAACAAACAGAGAGCGAGAAACTGCAGATCATACTGTTCTGTAGCCTTGGTAAAATGATGATATCAGTCGGTACAGATAATGGCAAGATAAATGGCATTAAAATATACACTGTGGGCTACAAAATCATTTTCCTATACTGTGTTTATGCTATGTTTATTTATTTATACTATATTTACATCTCCAACAATTATATATAATACATTATTATCCCAGAAAGCATTGGATCCTCTTTCATAACAACATCTATTATATAACATGACTGATTATAAAAGAATACTTCAAATTTAGGGCAGTTCTGTAAACCGTTTCCTCTCCTGCCAGAATCACTGGCCTACTTTGCATCACGAAATGAAGAAACAAAACAACCTCGGTGTTCTGGCTGACTGCTCAAGCAGCGCTAATACCTCATTTTAGATCATTCCATCTCCATAATCAACATCAAATGCTGCCTTGGCAGGTCTTCAAGCTGTTTTAAAAGAAATTGATTGGCCAAAACACTGACTCATTCTTGTGGAGACTCAGACCCATATGCTGTTACCTATTCCAGGGAGTACGAAAGTAGGAATTTTGGAAGTCTCCCAGGCAACCTGAGTGTTATGAATGATTAAATAAATGAATAAATGAAAACAAGACAGTAAATAATGACTGAACTGTCAGTTTTTGGGTCACTTTTTATGGATTTAATGAATAAACTAATTTAAAACATTCAAATTTCATAAAGTGGCATCACAAATAAAATAAAACGAACAAAAAAAACGCGTAATGAGTATGTGTGTGTGTGTGTGTGTGTGTATATATATATATATATATATATATATATATATATATATATATATAGAGAGAGAGAGAGAGAGAGAGAGAGAGAGAGAGAGAGAGAGGGAGGGAGAGAGAGAGAGAAAGAGAGACAGACAGACAGACAGACAGACAGACAGACAGACAGACAGACAGACAGACAGACAGACAGACAGACAGACAGACAGACAGACAGACAGACAGACAGACAGACAGACAGACAGACAGACAGACAGACAGACAGACAGATAGATAGATAGATAGATAGATAGATAGATAGATAGATAGATAGATAGATAGATAGATAGATAGTTGGATAGATGGATAGATAATATGTTATAATAAATAATTTATAATAAATGATATTTTACTTGACATTTTCAAGACACTTCTATACAGCTTAAAGTGATATTTAAAGGCTTAACTAGGTTAATTAGGTTAACTAAGCAGGTTAGGGTAATTAGGCAAGCTATTGTATAACAATGTTTTGTCTTGAAGACTATCGAAAAAACTTTTTGCTTAAAGGGGCTAATAATTTTGACCTTAAACTGTTTTTATTCTAGCGGAAACAAAACAAATAAGAGTTTCTCCAGAAGAATAAATATTATCAGACATACTGTGAACATTTCCTTGCTCTGTTAAACATCATTTGTATCATCATTTATATATATAAACTATGTTTATTTTATCAAAATACTAATAAAAATATATATATTTAAAAGTTCCTACTTAAACTTAGAAACTTACATCTGACCTTCCTTACTGTTTTAAACCAAAATAAAGTGGGTTTATTTTTTTAGGACATTTAAGTAGAAGGAACCAGGCTATGGTTTTGAAAAGCATAATAATAATAAAATCAAAAGAAAGTAAAATAAAATGAACAAATATGAAAAGTAACTAAAAATAAACAAAATAATGTAAAATAATGTTTGTAATTACACACTGTGTAAATCATGATCTTTTTATTTATTTTTTTAGTTTATTTTTGAGTGTTTCTTTAATAAATTAAGAAACAGGTTCCTTTTAAAAACATATGAGCTTGACTGGGATCAAACAGAATGTTTTATATATTTCCCTTGTTTTTAAAATGAACATTAAAATAAAAGAAATAAAAAAAATTACTTTCATGCATTGTTTCTTTGTTTTCCCTCTTTTTGAGGCTTAAACTGATATTATAAATTTATTTTGATGTTAAATATATAAATAATATATATGAATAACACTATTTTAAATCTGAGCTCTTTTGTACACTTGTATTTTTGGTGCATTGTCATTGAAATGCATTGTTTGCTTTTCATTTCATGAAACAAAAAAAAACTTAATATCTAAAATTACATTTCTTAAATTGACCTTCCTTGCAGAGCCAAGCAATCATTGCAGCATCAGTGCATAAATCACATTTGAGTTTTCTTCCCTGTAGTAAATGACCCACATTTTTCATGCCCTCCCAGCTCTATTGCTCACTTTGCGTTTTTTTTTTTTTTACATAGGCCAATGTCTCCTTTGGGTCATCTATGTCACTCTCTCTCTCTCCCCACTCTCTGAGTCATGTTTTGTGAGCGAGGATGGTCATGCATACTAAAACATGTATCCGCCGCAGCAGCGAGTCAGAGTTCTGTGCCGCAGTGCTGACCCTCCCCAACACTGCATGATGCCTATGTTTTTCTGACCTACATATTTTTCTCTCTCTCTCTCTCTCTCTCTCTCTCTCTCTCTCTCTCTCTCTCTCTCTCTCTCTCTCTCTTCCACACTGTATAGAAATAAGAAGCTGCAGACAACCCTGCGCTTCAGGACTAGATAATAAGAAATGGACAGATTAGATGGAAAGAGGAAAAAGAGAGGAGGATGACAGGAGTGAGGAGAGCAGCTTCTGGTCAAGGTTACGAGTCATTTAATTCCAGCTCACCAACGGTATGAGAAGATTCAATATCAAGGTCAACAGCCGCTCGCCTTTGTTCTGCTGACCCAGAAAAAGAGCTGATGTTTCTTCTCGTGCCATAGATTCCTTTACATGCAGGTCGAACTTAATTACACATTCATTCTCTTTAGGTTGTACATAATTTATTTATAAGCTGCTACACGGTTTGTGAATGTGTATATTTATACAACAGTTCTGTCTTGTTCTCGAATCTGATTGGCTGATAGCCATGTGATATTCTGCAATAACAGCACTCTTACAGCCTTTTCACTCTTGTGTATTACTCCGCCCACACAGAGTGACAGCAGGTCAGTTGACTCATTACAGTTTGACTATTATTGCAGCTGTTGGACAACATAATGTTCTTTTGAGGCTTTTTTAGGCAAGAATTTAAAATTTATAATTTTGGAGATCGGCGGGCCATCAGCCTGTCATATTAAGCAAAGCAAAGATGGTCGTGCCCCAAGATGGCGACAGAGACTGCATAATTAGTCCTTAGGGGAGAAAAACTCAACGTTTTCTTTTCGTATTTTTTCGTATTTACAGCTGATTAAATTATTATAAAACAAGTAAGTGACATTCTAAGTCAATCTCTCTTTTGTGTGCTGTAGTGCTGTATTTATACCACAGTAATCTGCTAGTGTTTGCTTTGCTTTAACTTTTTGGGGGTTAACTATTGTGATCTCCCGATTGCAACAGAGAAATCTCTGTAGACTAAAGGCATTTCATGCCGTTCAGCCTTATAATCTTAAAATGTCAGCAAAATCACTATTTTATCATCACTTTAGAGATTATGCTACAGAATTGTTCAAAAACTAGCTCTATTGTGACGTTTCTTTAAAGCATCGGTTTCTGCTGTTCTGATGTCAGTTGCAGATGTATAAGTATGGTGGAAGAAAGTAGTTCCTCGTACAAAAGGAATTTTGAGACTCTGTGTTTGATTTTTTTTTACACATGATTAAACAACAATTCAAAATCTCAACTGAATCTCTCAAATCAATCTCTCATCTCAGTGAATATAGAAAATATATTTGGGTTTTAATAATAATAATAAAAAATATTTTATTAGTTTTATTCTTTAAAATAAGTGTGTTGTCATCTTTAAGAACAGAAAGAAAAAAATACATTCAAATTCAAATAAGAAGTTGCAAAATTATTTCAACTAAACGTCATATTTTTATGATTCATTTATTAAAATTTTACTTAGTATTTTTCTGCAACATTTTTATCGGGGTGCTTTAATTTTTCCATTTATTATCCCACTTATTCCATAGTCATTTGCCAAGTTTTGAACAAATTAAAAATAGTTTTGTTCCTTACAGAGCAATGTTTGACCAACTTGTCATCAGTTAGACTTCCTACAGTAGTTCCCACTTTGAAACAGTAACAGGTAAACTGAAAGGAAGTGTAAGCATGTGTGTATGAAAATGACATGAGCATTTCTAATAGCTCATATTAACATGTGTTAGCTAATGTAAAGCATATTTGAGTTGTTTTATCTCTATCTGCTTCATTGTTAAGCAAACGGTGTTCTCGAGATTACACAGAGGAATTAAGTCATTGGCAACTATCATTGAGTTACTATGGTTACTAATAATGTTTGAGGGAAGCTTATTTATTTTGAAATGTGATCAAAACTGACCGGAACTACCAGGGCTCTATTTTGACGGTCAATGCGCAGAGCGCAAAACGCAGGACGCAAACGCTTTCAGGGCGTGTCAGGACGCGTTTTTGCTAATTTAAGGACGGGAAAATCCACTTTGCAACGCGGCGCATAGTCTAAAAGGGTTGAGTTTATTTTCTAAATGAGTTATAGGTGTGTTTTGAGAATAAACCAATTAGAATCTCATCTCCCATTCCCTTTAAGAGTCAGCTGCGTCGCACCAAGAGCGCATTCGCTATTTACAGGACGCAAACTAAGTGGGAAAAAATGAGCATTTCACAAGCAAACAGTTAACAGTTAACAGTTTTTTTAACAGAAAACAGTTAAACAGAGCATCTACTGCGTGAGAATGAGAGATAATGGATCACTTTCACTTTCGCTCTTGGATAGGAAAACCTTTACGTACAGACATCAATTAGTCTATAAATAAATAATTTTGTTTGTTAAGCGCAAATATACGTTTCAAAACTATTTCTAAATTCAGTTCTAATTTCCAGCAAACAAATAAATGAATAGTAATAGCAAAATGTGCTCATCTCCTAAAACACATGCTTTGCCCCATATGGTCTAAAACCAGACAGGTGGGCAAATCTAAGCTTGTTCTTAATAAAAAAAATATAAATATGGATATAATAAATAATAATGCTAATAATAATAACATTATACAAAAGCAAATTGTTATGAATGAACTGAAAAAGCCTCCCGAGATGAAGAAGACATAAAAGCAGTGGTTTTTCATATTAATGTAGGCTAGAAAATAATATGTTTTGTAATATTTTAATCCTTTATATTTATATCCTATATCTATTCTTATTATATACTATATATATATCTTTAATATTTACATTTTTTCATATATAAAGATATTTGCCTATTGCTCTCTTGTGCAGCTTAAGCAGTGCGTAAGCGAGGCCCAACTCTGTGCCAGAGTTAAGACCGGGTTAGTTTTGGTCTAATGAAAAATCTATTATAGATTCTCAAAATAGCAACGCGCCAGCGGTCCGCCTCAGAACGCCTTCCTTTTTAGACCAGAACGCCTATGGGCGCACAAATGAGCGCTAATGCATTTGCTATTTAAACAGCGCAGTGCAACACCTCAAAACGACTCTTACGCCAAGCTTAAACTACCAAAAGACTATTGAGCCGCGCCTTGCGCCACACTGCGCTGGGTGTATGATAGGACCCCCAGTGCATCAAACAATTTTATTGCACACCCTCTGGCCAATCATAATCAATAGTTTATTAATGTAAAATAAAATTTAAGAACATGAAACAATGAATGCAATTTGCAATTTGAATGCATCTAAATAAATGCATAATTTATTAATTTTCATTTTAAATGTGAATTTACTGTTTATACTATTTGTATTAGGGTTGTCACAATACTGGAATTCGATACCAATCAGTACTGTAATTTTAAAAACGTCAACAGCTAACATTTGAGCGCTGTTGAGTTCATTTTTAAACAGTGCTGATTTGCCACTGTGTTTACGTGTTCAACAGAAATGACCGTGATTGGTCGTATAGGTCATCAGTTCACCGAACTCACCTCTGTTTACTGAGTCTAACCAAAGATCCAGGGACACTAGAGCATTTTAAAGCTGATAAGATCAATCGATTCATCATTGGATCTCTCGAATGTCAGCTTATAAACAGAGTAGCTAATCTTCACAGCTCCAGTGTTTATACATTTCAGTACTGATTGTTATTAAATTCCAATTTCGTAAACAACACTAATGTGTTTATGTATAAAAGAAACACACAAAACTACAGATATATACTGTAAAATGATATAGGTACAGTCTAATAATCTGAAGTTAAGGTTTGAACTCCAATTTACAGTTTGCATTTCTTTTTATAATTTTAGCACCATGACATATGCAGCGCTGAGATCACCTGACACCTGAGATCATCCTCGTCTCACGCTGCATGTAATCTGTTAACAGAACTGATAAACCGCAGTCAGCTGGCATCCAATTACCGCTCTGATCACAAGCCCACACACACATCACTTCCAGAGGGCTGCTTTTTCAACGTGCCCATATGCAAACACTCACACACAGGCGTCTCTTGTTGGATGTGGAGATGGGGAAATTAACTCCAGGTCAATGCTTGGAGACAGATGGTGCAACAAGACAGAAATCGTGCAGGGCATACTGCTTTGGGTATTGCAGAGAGAAGTGGGTGTAGTTTACTTGTCACACAAACACACTCAAAGAAGGAAAAAAAAGAAACATTTGTTTACTTACGGTTCAGCCCAACATCATGGTAGGTCAGAATAGCTGGCTTGTTGCCCTTGGGAGCGCCACGGATCACCACGTGCAGCATCCCATAAGGGGTTTCAATGTCATGTTCCTGAACACACAAAAACAACAATTTCAGCAAAGAGCCTGAGAAACTGTCAGGATGGATCTAAAATGTTGTGGGAAGTTACTTTTAAAAGTAACATTGGATTACATTTTTTTCAAGTAACTAAATTCAGTACTTAGGTACTTTTTGAGGAAAGTAATGCATTAAGTTACTTTCCCATTACTTTTTTTCATCTGGGCTGGCTTGCTTGTTTGCAGGGCTCCACACAATTATTTCATATTGTCCTAACACAAATCTAAGTTGTAGCTTAAATACCCTAATTTAGATACAACATACTTGGTTAAAAATAGGTTTAAAATGTTTTTTTTAGTTGGAATTTTGTAGGTAAAACTTATTAACTAGACCAATCTCATCCCAGTGTCATCAAGTGGCCAATATTGTGGAAGAATCTGGCATATTGAGCTAATTTTTTGACATTGGGACGAAACTGACCCAATTTTCCAGTTGTAACTTAAATACAACAGTAATTTAGATGCAACATACTGACTTGAAATGAATTTAAAATATTTTTTTTGGTGAAAATTTTGTAGGTAAAACTTAAACTGGACCAATCTCATCCCAGTGGCTAATATTTGGCAAAATCTAGTATATTGAGGTACATATTGACATTGAAACGAGATTGACCCAATTTTCCAGTTTTAGCTTAAATATGACCCTAATTTAGATGCAAATTACTGACTGAAAATGGGTTTAAAAGGTTTTTTGTTGTTGTTGTTGTTGTTGAAAATTCTGTAGCTAAAACTTGTGAACTGGACCAATATCATCCCAGTGTCATCAAGTGGTCCATATTGTGGCAAAATCTGGCATATTTAGCTACGTATTGACATTGTGAGAAGACTGACCCAATTTACCACTTCATACAGGCTAAAATGTGGTGAAATCTAATAAGTCATGCTTTATTTTTTGTATCCAAACACAAACTATAAAATCAAAATTTGTTCCAATCATGTTCTAATTTCAAAAGGCAATCTATACTCAGTAAAATATTGTATATTGGGCTAACTTAAAAATCAAGTTTTAGCTTGTTTAGATGCAACAAATTCAGCTTAACAGTTGTATCTTAACACAAACTAAATAAAAGGAGGCAGTCTGCCAGAAATTCTCATTTCAGCCTGTATGTTTTGACACAAACTAAAACATTGATTTATATTGTAGTTACTAAAAGGGCTGCCAAATTTTTAATGGGCAATAAAAAATGTATTTAATCGAGAGTAAAAAAAAAACACAACTAATTAATATCTTATTAAGCGTCTCCGATTCCTGTTCATAGTCATTTAACACACTTTTAATTGCCATTTCCAAAGGCATTTTAATCTGAACTGACCCACATTCACCGTCAGACTTTACTCCAAGTGGAGAAGCGATGGATGTGTGTTTTTTTCTTGTCCTATAAGGATTATTTCAGAATCTCTAGCTTTCCAATGTTATGCACAAATCCACGCAGACACCTCGCAGGCAGCCCCGAGCTTAATGCAGATCCACAGAGAGACAGGGAAATAAATCTCCTGTGGGCTTTAAGCCCCTGTCAGTGTGTGGTTTTGATGTTAGTGGAAAATAAAAAATAAAAAAATAGTGGAAGCTCAGACCGGATGCAAGTGTATTTGTGCGAGTTAAGGACAGCTGTTTGTGTAACTCTGTGTTCGGGTCAAAATTAAATCTCATAGCAGCTGTCACTGTGTTTTGCAAAATGTCAAGCATGTTTTCTAGACAGACAATATGGAACAAACACTGACGAGATAAACACAAAATCTGACCTAGATATGACAATATTATGCACAAAACAATAGTAAAGCAGTGCGTCGTGAGTTGAAGTACTGCTCTTTTTTAGCTGCTCGTTTTCTTTAAGCTCAAGGTCACACAATCGTCCTTGGATGAGGATTTTTATGATTAGATCGCAGATTTGGTGTCAGTTTCACAATGCACAAACACACATTTCTAAACACACACACTCCAGGTCACTGCAGAGGTACATCAGTGCGCACGTCCCACACGTGGCAGTGTGTTAGTGTGTTAGTGCAAATGGCCACCTCATACATGACTGGACATTTCTGCACAACACACAATATCAGCATCACGCTTTCACCAGATGGAGCTTTTTATTTGATATTTTATTTTATGAATATATCTATTATATTATCTTATATCATATTATATTATATTATATTAAATATAAAAAATTATATATATATATATATATATATATATATATATATATATATATATATATATATATATATATATATATATGTTTTATATTATACATTTATGATACAAATGTACACATTTAGCTTTTTATTAAATAATAAATAAATAAGATTTTATTTTAAATGATTATTTTTATTTCAATATAATTACTAAATAACCATTAGGATTGATAAATTGAAATAAATGATAATAAGTAGCCATCAGGCAAGTATAAACATGCATAGATCTGTAATGATGGAACTGGTGCACAATACCAGTTCAGTAGGTCAAGCTAATTATTTCAAGCATGCATAAGGCTAATCAATTAAATATACATTCATTTGGCTAAACAATAAAGAATGACATGATAGCACATGTATTAGTATTAACAAATAAATAAATAAATAGAATCCTGTGTTTACATCCTAAAATCATAGATATCCCACTCACCCCATCCCAGCACTCCGGCATGGTAGCTTAGAGATTGTGTACGCTTGCTTAAAGAAGTGTAGGGAAGAAAAGGAGACGACAAGGTCCTCTCTGGACAATTGCAATCGGATGCAGGAAAGCAAAGAGATGCTGCGGTTGCTACGGCGTCTCTTTGTCTCTCCTCGTCCTGTCAGGGCAGTTTTGCAGCACTACTTGTCCCCTCCCCCGACACATTTCACATCCCACCCCATGCATTCTGATTGGATGACTGCACAAAATGCCAGCATGTGAGTGGCTCAGCTTGGTGTCAATCTAACTCTGTTGTTTTTCATCTGGATTTGCCCCATATTTGCTATTTTCATCCTCCACATGCACAAAACAGCCTTTAATATGACTTCTTGATGCAATTTAATACATCAATAGAGCGCTATATTCCAAAATGATATGCTTTTCTATATAGTAATTCATCATTTAAATAAAAAAAGACACAATACACACACCAAACTAGACAAGAACTCCGATTTCATAAAAAGCCTTAAGCATTACTGTCAATGTGGCTTGCTTTGTGACAGTGTTTGTGTGTGTGCGCTTCCACAGGAGCACGTGATAAAGCACTCGAGGCTCGTGGCCCACTTTTGAGGCATGGATGTGTTTACATGAGCTATATTCTATATTATACAGCCTCTGAATTTGAAATCCGCACAGTTTTGTCTATTACAACTGGATGTGCTGGCTTTTCTTTGTGGATGTGAAAGATTAATCCTCGTGTGCCTGACTTTGCTTTTGCAGTCTCACTTAAACGCACAAACTCTTCCCTTCTCTATTGCAAGTGTCATGCACAGGTGTAAATGCTTTTGCACTGTTGTTGTCAAAATAGAACGCGCCATACTTGTTACATAGTATGCACATGAACAGGTTTTTATTTAGAGCTCATTATCACTTTTTTGGGTTTGGTATTGTTTCTGAATAAGGTAACACTTTACAATAAGGTTCATTAGTTAATGCATTTAATAACATGAACTAATCATGAACAACACTTGTACAGCATTTATTAATCATAATTGAACATTTACTAATGCATTATTAACATCCAAACTCGTGCTTGTTAACATTAGTTAATGCACCGTGAGTTAACATGAATTCACAATGAACAACTGTATTTTCATTAACTAACGTTAACTTGAATTTTGCCTAAGTAATGTTTTATTCAGTACCAAACTGTAAATAATTACATGGCTGGCTTAAATTTTTAAAAATGAATTATATTAATGACTTACTGTTACAAGCACCAGCGATCTAGCCCATGCAGACCACTTAGAAATCTAAATCCGCCATTATATGGACTACAAGACCCAGTCATGCACTGCACACACACACCTGCTCTAGGTCTCCATTGATAAGACTCACACAGCAGAACTGATTCCATGGACCATAAAGTCAGCTCACAAACTCACAGAAGTTGCTGAGTCTTGTTTGTACCGTTTGTGAACATTACAACATGCTTTCCTTGCCTTCCATGTTTTTGAATCTTGCTTTGTTTTGTTTGTTTTACCCTGTCTGCTGCCTGCCTTTTGGCCATCCATCTGTTATATGACCACGACTTGGGAATTGCCCGTATACACCTGTTTGCTCCTGTGTTGACTGTTGCTTGCCTGACCATTCTCTGCATCAGGCACGTGCACACATAGGGCTCAACCTGTGCAGTGCACATGCCCTTTTTAGTCTTGGATAGAAAGTGCCCTTCCAAAATGATCAAAAGTGCCCCCGCGACGCGGCACACCCTCGGTCCCGCCCTTCAGTAGGCGCGCGCGACAACACCGCTCTTCAGAACGCGCGCAACAACAATCCCCCCCCCCCCCCCCCCCCGCTCTTCAGAACGCGCGCAACAACAACAACAACCCCCCCCCACCACCCCCCCCCTACCCCCCCCCCCCCCCGCTCTTCAAAAAATTTCTCCTGCACATGCCCTTTGGATGGTCTCTGCACGGCCCTGCTCTGCATCATAAACCTGCATTTGGATCCGCACTTCCTGTTGTCAGCCTCTACTTCACATTACACATATCGTCACCTTAGAATTATAAGGTTTTATCTGACTTTTTTTTTTATTGAGTTATTCACATATTCTTATTAAATGACAACTTATTGTGTGATTTTTTTATAAGTTGTTTACATTTTAAGACTTTTTATTTAAAAAACAATAACGGTTATTTTACTAAGTTGAACTCTAGCTTGGCTCTATAAGGTTCTTTCTGTTAGCCAATCAGCATTTTTTAATGCATTTTACATGGTTGAAAAAGAAAAAAGTATTAAAAATTATATTAAAAGTTATATTAAATGTAAAATATTTTTATTTGTGCATACAGTATATAGTC